TAAAAAATGCCTCTCTTATGGAAACTGTCGGTGAAAACATGCTATCCTCCTACATATTCGTTGCTTTATCATTTTTCCACTTGAATTGCCTCAGCGATTCTGTGTCACGCTCAATTGTGTAACCGATAAGGGTTACAGACTTATACATCAGTAAAACTTATATTATCAATAACGACTTCAGAAATTAAACTTGCAATATTAACAAGAAAAATTGTTTGTTGATATTGTATTTTGAAAATAATGGGTAACTTATGCTGTGTTGTTAAGAGTGCAAAAGTAAAATTAAATTTAAAATGAGATGGGTATAATTAAAGCAGGTGGCAAGATGGATAATTCGCAAAGTGCCAAAGTCATCCGACGACGTAAAACTTTCTAATCAAATAAGTCTTGCGAATGTTTGCCGTGCGTAAAGATGTTATTGTGTCTTTACGGCAAAATACGTTCAAGTTTTTAATTAATTCGCTACGCCATAGCTTAATACATTAGCTGGATACATTAAAAATTCATGAAAGTTTGCAATTCAATTGTTTTAACAAGTTGCAACACGTTTAATTACCAAATTAATAATTGATCATTTGTTAAATAATATTTAATTTTTAATATCCGCACACGAGCAGTTGGAATTCCTAAAACCGTTTACTTCCCTAAAATATTTGTCTTTTTGTATATTACCAAAGCATCTTTTTCGGCATTTATAACGAATGTCGTGGCTATACTTAAATTTGACATGATTTTTTACATTTTATTAAGCTTTTAAATGAAAAAGATGCAAAATTGTTTTGTGACCCGTGGGCGATAATCAAAACATGTTATAATTGCCTATGTCATCCATCATGTTTGATATTTTAAATCCGAAATAACATTTTATTACTGTACAAAGCTGACATAATGACAGATTTATTGAATTCATATGAACAGTTTATCGAAACTTCCAAATATGAATCAGCGTCCAACAAAATGGATTTAGCAAGCAAAAGTTTCAACGACAAAATCAATTGCAATTTGGGTCGGAAACAACAAAATTCTAACACCTGCGCTGGGATTAGGCAATTCCGACAACTATATAAAACGGCCATAACTCTCATGAACGTATCGTTCGCATAGATTTAGAAGTCCATCGATATTTCGCGTATTACGATTATATGTGCCCGGCCCTCGAGTATCCAACCAGGCCGCGCAGCGCGGCAATCATATCTCGTAAATTTGAAATTATTATACGAACTGGGTTGTAAGTTAAAAACGTACCCAATTCAGCCCGCCGAAATGCGAGTAGTAGTTATTGCGAAATACGAAAAGCAATATCGTTCGTAAATCTATATTTTCTTGTTGCTCTTTGAAAGGGGCGGTTCCAAATTCGTCGTTTATTGCATACTCTCCTGCAGACATCTTTCTTCGTATCGAACCTGGAAAACGTTGCGTGCACGTCGACCATGAAATCGTAGGTACGTATATAAACGTCTATCGCTTTTAAAAAGTCCGCCATTGCTTTACGGTCCATCGTTTGGAATTAGATGAGACGCGAATTTGAACGAGCTGCAGCATTATACGGCATTATACAATATAGTCAAACCACTTTATCATAAAGATGATCGTAATCGCATAAGAGCGCCGTAAAAATTGCAAGCAACCTTTATGTGATTTTATTACGTTACATTTTTTATTACGTCGGCGTACAAGTAATGAACTCTCGGCGTTAGCCTAAACTCTAGAAATTTTAGCAAATAATTCATGGCCTTTCTTAAAAGAAGAAAATTATTCCGTTTGCCATCTGCATTCCATTTCGTAAGTGCATAGTGTTTGCCGTTAGCAGCGCGGGCGTTGTAAATGGAAATAAATAAAACTCTTTCTCACAGGCTATATATTTTTTTGTAATTACAGACGCAAATTACGGCCGGCATTTAACGTGGCAAATAATTAATGCCCATTTGTTAGCTAATTACCCATTCGCAGTTATATTAAGCTTATAAAGCTTCACCTCTGCTCTCAGGCGGCATCGCACGACCCCTGCATGTGTGTGCTTATATGTGTATATATGCGTGAGTGTTTATCGGCGGGGGCGGCGTGATGCGTTCACGCCAAACTCGAGGCCATGCGACAATGAATAGTCAAAGAGTGGTGGCGGGTGCGTCGTCGCGCCTTTCGACGCCAGAACACCCAAAGCCTATATTCGCAAGCGCCGCGCATGTTTGCGCACTACTGTTGGGAGTTACTTTTAATTAATTTACGTTAGGACTAACTAAATACGCGGCGATTATTCGCTAAACGGCGTACGCAGATAGCATACCGAAAACTCGGCGTGGTGGCATGACGATAATTAAATTTTCGATGCTCATTATATTGTTTGCGTAGCATGGTACATAGAAGAGGTGGAAGAAAATGTGTTTTATTAGTGCGTGTATTTGGATGAAACAATTTGTTTATTATATTTGCTTGATTAGTTTGGTTGAGACGTTTTTGTACACATGCTGTTAAAGAAAACCGTGAATAATTGTCAGTATACGTTTTCCTCAGCTTCAAATTTGTAGATGGTGAATATTGATAAACAAATAATAGGTAAAATTAAATTACCGACCCAAGCGTCACTTTAACGACGGCTAATACGATCTAGAGGGGATTTATCGGCAAACTCTAATTGAAAGTGTTGCGGATTAGGGGCCGAGCGGCGCCTTGATTTTAGTATCCGCATGTATATGGGCAACGTACGTACATGTTGGCCCTCCGCGCGCACCCCGACTCACTTAGCAGCTTCCCAATTCGCTTCACTTCATTTACACCTCCACCCTAGACTGCTCATAAAGGTTCGACCATAATTAATTATCGGGAAGCGCAAATATATACACAACCTTGCAACAAAACCAGATTATTTCCCTCTCGAACGCGTAAATAAATTAATCTTCCTAGTGGTTTATCGTGAAAGTTTTATCTAAAACATTAAATTATTATAGATAGTCAAAACTTTTAGCTTTAAAATACAACAAGTTTCAAAAGACTGTAAAATATTGAATCAAAGTATTAAAATCACAACGCTATAATGCATACAAAATTATGGGTGATATTATAGTAGGTACTTTGTATAAAAGCTTTTATGGTTAGGATACTCAAAGTAAGTAAATCTTGGATCCTTCATTTAGTCGTGGAGTTGTAAGTGGAAGATGGTCACCAATATATTACCAGGTGGACAAAACGTGTTGGCCTAGGCTTGGGCCCTCCAATGCCCAAGAAAGTGCCGAAAACGCGTGAAAGCATTCACGCGACGAGAATATACGACCAGAATAGGTCCAGTTAAGGATATGTCTATCTATCACGACGACGGCAACACAATCAGTAGTAATTGCCATCATTTAATATGTTTTTCTTACTAATAAACTCAATATAAAAAATATCCTGGAATAATTGTTATTACGTGTTTTCTTTTTTTGAAAAAAATGCGTATATTAAATTGTATTTTAAGTAAATATATTCTACAGTACTCTTTTGATGATTAAAATTTAATAACAAACCAACAAATATCTTTCGGAATAATGAACAAAAACGAAGCAAATCCGGAGTGCATGATTAAAACTCAAATTAATGCGAATGCTAGCAGCAGACAAGGCATAGGACGGAAACACAACAGCATCCGGAAACGCTAAATATGCATGCGAACACATAATAAGCCTTAAAACCAATGGAGGCAAATTCAACATCGGCCTTGGTTACTCTTATCAGATGTTACAAGCTAACTAGCTGGCGAAGAGCTTCGCCACCAATTTTAGCTCTCTGCCTGCAGATTGTTGATGTTATTTCGCTCCCGTAAATCGCATCGTAGTTGTAATGAAACCGCGCGCGTATTTCACATGCTTGCAGGCAACTTTCCACTGTTAACGCAATCCTTAATATAAATTTAATGGACTTTTGCTGCTGCCGCAGACGTCTAACTGCGATGGTTGCCTAGCTGGAAGCCGACACTCTCTAAGTGAACAATTTTCCTCTTATTATTGCATGTCGTGCATGCGAGGATAAAGCAAGTGCATTGTAATCAATCTGTATAATGAGACGCTGCAAATTTATCACTTATGCATTTTGACACTTTAATTTAAAAAACTTTATTATCTTATTTGTGTCGCATTCAGGTTAAAAATTGTTATTTTGTTGTATAATGTCAAAGTGTAGGTGTAGAATAGGATTTCCACTTTGCTCAGCGCCCTTGAGCGCTTGCCAAGTCCGGAGTAAAAGTAGAGCGAAGTCGAATTTCAACAATTTTCCGAAATTAATCAAACAACATACATATTGCATTGGGAAACGCGGGTTCCCATCCCTATTTGACGTTGTAAAATTTAAGATAAACATTTCGCCGATTGGTGCCCAAGGAAAAAAGAAAAGTGGCGCGCCCTGGCAACACGACTCACGTTTCTGGAGACGAGATTCACTCGACGTCTATTTTTATCATTTTCTATAGAGTGCATTTATAGACGTTTTTATAATCTAAAAGCAATCAAAATCGAATCGAGCGAATGGAACACTTAAATGCAAATTGTATATACGGTATACTCAGTTTCGCATCGCTCTAGAGTGCGACTGGTATCCGAAAGCATTTTCCTGGTTGCTTTTTCTTTCCCCATTCATGCGCCGAAGGATGTGTTGCTCTGCATGCTTCGCGTGCTATGTAAACTTATTTTATATCTTGCGCGTGGGTGTATATGTAGGCTGGTACTCTGTACGTCTCCGGAGAGGGCAAAAGTTTTCGGCTAAATTCCTTAGTTTGCACACGCGCTTTCGTGCTTGTTACTTTCGCCAGGTTATAGTGCGCTATTGTGCAAGCAAGACAAACTCGAGAAAGTCGAGCTATCCGTGGGAATTTGAGGGCACTCGTTCTTTTTACACAGAAAACTTTAGACAAAACAAATGTTTCCAACAAAAAAAATATTTTATGATCAGTCAAATTTAGCATGTCAGATTTTTGCATATAAAACTTGTGTAAACAATTTTTTATTAAGAATTAGCTAGCATTGCATTCTTACCTCTTCGTTTTAGTTAAAGTACTAGTGTCCGCTAGTAATTATCCATATTTTCTTCTTTTTTTTTTCAATTTGATTAACACTTTTAATACAATATGTTTTTTGATAGTTTAAGTTTTGATTATACAGTCAATTAAATGTTAGCGATAGTTTGATGAAAGTTTTATTAAAATAAATACAGTTTAATAAGAGCGTTAAAACTTTTTTCCTCTATAGGTTTCCGACGCACGGAGGCGGCGCAGTGTCACTAAGTGATCTCGCGCACTCGTCCTTGCGTGCGTAAATTGTGATCCTCACTCGGCCGCCACAACCGACGTGCGCGACGTTTGTCGGAGTACTGCAACGCGTTCCCGGGGCCGGCGAGGGATGCTGTGCTGTATCCGCGAGTACGCGTACCGCCGCACACGATCGTGCCGCCGCACATCCTTCCCTATCCTGCGTGACGCAGTCGCACACGACGCCAATCGATACCAACTCGAAACGTGAGTGCGAGTAAGCGCGTCGCGTGAGGGTGGCTGCAGGAAGCGAGTCGGATGCTGGAAGCCGGAGGCCAGCGCACGCGGATGGCCTTGCGTGTACGTGTAGGCCCGACCGAAGGCGGCAGCGGCGGCAACGGCGGTGTGCAGGCATCCTTCATACAACAATCCAGCTCAACCCTCGACCCGCGGCGAGTGCACTCGACGTCGACGCGCCGCTGCGGGCGAACGTGTCCGAATATTCTTTATGTCTTTCGATGCCTTTCATGATTTCATCGTTTTTCGACTAGTTGGTGCTGGCCTCGTAATTCTTCATCAAGTGAGAGGAATATTTCTTAATAGAAAGACCTGCGCACACTTTGACGTATACTATTCTTTATTTGATTTCTGCCGGCGCCTTTTATTGTTGCGGCTCTCTTTATTCCATCATTCTTTTGGTAATCCACAATTTGGGGATCACGGAAGGCGAACAGTTGTCCGCGTGCGATGCCTTTCTCATGTCGTATTCTCGTGGTCAGATGGCTGGAAGCGGTGGCAGGCGTTCCGGTTTGCGAAGAGTTAAGTTTCAGGACGCGCCGCCCAAAAGTTGGAAAACTTTGCTTCCAGCGTTTGATGCTCTGCTAACCATAATAAACTTGGACGTTTTTATCCCTTTTCGTGCTTTATACTCATCGCCGGCCAGTTTAAACATTTTAACACTTTGCTCAATTATATTCCGGCTGCGTGTCCTTTGATACGAATACACTGAACACAAACGTTTAACCTCAAATATTTTTTAAACATTTTCTTTTTGAAAAACTTTTTATGCATTTCATATAAAAGTTATAGCGGGTTGCATTCATAAAATCCTGCTCGCTTTACAATCTAAAATATTCTATGACATAACATTATTAAGGCATGCGCTGATATTTCTTTGTCACAGATATAGAAAATTGTCAACGTCATCATTTTTTGCTTAGTGTTAAAAAAACGGATGGATGGGCTAATAAAACTGTCTGCGACCCACGCGCTTGATGCGCAATGAGCGTCTCTTGTTTTTCAGCAGCCAAACGTAGCGATATGGCAGCGTAAGAGCGACGTATTTGCAACTGAGATTTATATATGTTATATTATACGCACCGAGTTCAGTATTATCTTTTTCTGGAATATATTTATCCCTTATGAACGACCCAAACATTGAAGTTGTATAATATTAAAACACAATTATGTTACTTGTTTTTAAAAGAAACATTTACATACATATTTAATTAATATTTCACTCCATCTGATTTACCAACTTAATAAATTTACACTTAATCCTCGTCCTGAACTTCTTGACAACACTTGCTTTGAATAAACTACGTAAATGGTTGACTAAGCACTATAGGCGTCATCTATCGGTGAATGAAAAAATCTAGTTGTGTCTAAAGCAGATAATACATATGGAAAACTCTCATGGATGAAATTGATTCAAACTTTATTACGCAACTCACGAACAAGATGATTAATGATGTATGTAGTCAATTAGCTTCCGTCACCAAATTCTAGTTTGAATGTTCTTTCTTCACAATAATTTCATGTATTTTAATAATTAGTAATTATCATTGTTAACATATTTATCCGAAAATAAAATGATTAATTGATTGAGTTTTTAGGCGAATTTCTGTAAACCTTATCTTGTTTGTACAATTATGTTGTAATATACTAACGTAATGATAAGGAGCGAATTAATACTCATACAATTTCCAGTAATATAATATTTATATTTATAAATACGATATTTTGTGGTATTTAACACGTTTTTCGCGTTTGTTGCTAGTTGAAAAATGCAACTAAATTGAGAAAAGCAGAAAGAATATCTTCACACTCTAACCTATTCTAAAGCTATTTATTCTAACAAAAGTCAAATTTTTGACTGATTTTCTAAACCATTTAAAGCTATAACATATGAGTACGTATTATTACAAAACACATTGACATGTTCTCGGTTATTATACATTAAACATTAACCAAGAATTTAAGGTTTAAAAATAATCTTTGACCGAGTAAATTAAACACAGTGAATCAGTGCGTATTTGTGGTTAAAGTTAGACTGGTCATTTCAGATGATCGCCTTGGTGTTGTCTTCATTCCAAATTTTTTTGCCAACAAATTCAATACGTTTCTCTTCAAAATGAATATACAGAAAATTATAATGCCTAAAATGAGAAAAGTATTATTTCATCTGATATTTTATTATTGATTAAATAAATAACTACCTTTTGCACAATTAATTGTGTCAATAAAAGTCTCAAGCAAACTTAAATGCAATTTCTTAAATGATATAAATGATGAAATTGTTTCAAATATCCAGAGAATTCCCATGATCAAAAATAATTTTAGGAGCATAATCATTCTGCAATAAAAATAAAATATACAATTCGAAAATGAGTAAAATAATAATTATAATTGAAAATATTACTTTTCTTTGTCTTCCTTTAGCGTGTTCTTTCTTTTGCTTCGCTCCTTGGAGCTGTCATCACGCATTCGCTGAATTTCATTTTTCACTTTAATACAGTAAAGTATTGTTTTCACGAATAAAACAACATTAATTGCGAGCATTACTGCCATTGGTATTAAAAAGTAGATCATGTAATCAACATTTGAATCTAGAAACAGTAATTAAAATTTATCAATAAGGTTTGTATAAATGAGTCAAATAAAATTTCCAAAAAAAAAATTTACACAAATTAATCTTACCACTATCAAAATAGCATTTTAGTTTTCCAATCTTGGGTGTAATAACCTCTGGTAACATATCAGTTTGTTGGGCCAAAATCATGAAGCTTACAAACGCCGTTGGCACCCCAAAACCATAGCAACTGTAGAAAATAAACTTCTTCAATTCTGATTTACGATTTTTGACTTTGAATCCCCTTAAAACACTAAAACAAACAATTTATTGTAAGTAATGTTTCCAAATATTTTAAATCTAAGCCTAAGAAAAAAGAAACAACGCACTGACACACGTTTTTCTTAGAGTTATTAATAAAGCCCACAATATTCTCAAATATTTACATTATCGCCAGCTTAAACGTGCGTCATCTGATCTAATTTCCGGACGCGCATTTTTTTCATCATTGTCGTCATCGAACCAAACGTTCGTCATTGTATTAGTCGGTAAATCCGGACGATGATAACGCTAACGCACGTGTTGCGCCCAAAGTGCAATTTTCCACAATATTGTGGCCATCTTTATTGCAACATTCAATAAAATCTTATCAAACGCCACCGTTCCGGACGTAATGAAATAGACTCGGGCGCAATTTCATTAAAATTTGATGAGGCTTCCACCTTTCGAGCGGCACCACCGCCCGCCGCGTTAACGAGCAATAACAATTGCGAAACATAAAACTAATGAGCTCGGTTCAAATTAAATGTCAATAAAATGAGACGCGTTTGCAGACAGCCGACTGCGATGTGAAAATGATTAATTGCCGCACCACTTTAATACTGCCCCCAGATGCGTTCGAAATGTCGCAGAGCAATTAATCGTATCACGCAAACCAAGTGACCATTGTAATTTAATTTTAGTATATTATTAAGTGATACATTTCTGGAACCGAATTATATGTCATATATTAATGTTTTGAAGTTAAATAAGCCCCAATGTAAACAAAAAGATTTTTAAATTATATTTTTTTCTTATATTTTGGTGCAAATTGTATACTACCGAGTATTGTCCCACAAATCTATTTATTTATACATCTTTCAATATTTAATTGCACCTGCGCCGGAATTTGAACTGAAATGCACTTTTTCGAAGCAAGACATAAACAAGATTAATCCTGGAATTAATGATGCGTGCGTTTGCTACGTTTTCACTACTACGAAAACGTTCATTTTATAAATGCAAATGATATACACATGCTGGCTACGAATGCAGAGAATGTACAAATGCAGTTTGGATTAAAGCTATCCGAAATCCATTTTCTGATTAAATCGTGCATTGAGCTCGTTCGGTGAACAAACGGAACATATCACGTTATAAATATTTTCAAAAGAATCGCTAATTTTAGTCGGAATTGTCTGTAGTCGATGTGAAATGACACACACGTCAGTGCACTTTGTTTAATTTGGCTAAACTTAGCTCTGACTTTTTGTGCTGCATTCTCAATCGCGTACGCATTCACTCAATTATTGGAAATTCGTAGAGTATTATTAATAAGCGGATGTGCTTATGAAAAATAAATCAAAGCCGCGTTTGTTTATTCGCACGAGTGTTTTCTGCTCTTTTACATACCCAAATGTCATCCACATATCGACGCAAATGATGTTTAACCAAGCAAAAAGTCCGAGGAATGCGAAAATTGTTCCATACCCTGAAAATATAAATATTTTTACTAATTGATACACAAAATATTATTTTTGTGATATATTTTTACACTTGATACTTGATAATAAATTAAACAGTTTATGATGACAAGAAATGTGTTTCAACCTGTTTTTCAGGCCATCTGCTATAAATTATATTGACAGACGCATGTTTCAAGAGATTAACAGACAAACACAACCAAATATTTTGTTGATTATTTCTTAAAATATACACACTTGACCACATCTAAACTTACCTAAAGCTGTACAGCATGCGGATTGACTTATAGGAAAAACTTTAGTGTAACATAAAATGGCGGATCCCAATAAGAGAAACAAGCATTCCATCATAATGCATTTTCCATGAAGATTTTGCATTTCTGGTAAAATAGCATAGCATAAAAATGTAAGAATAGAAAACAAGGCTGAAGTAAATAAAATGATGCTTTTAAATATTTCGGTGTTATCTGTAGGTCCAAAATGAAATAAATACAAAACTTGTGTCGTTGAAATATTGTTTTGAAATTGTTCAATACAATAAACCATTGACGTAGAATCAAAATATCGCATTTCGTGGTCTATCTCCATTTCAATATCTCCATTAGAATCCACTTTAAAATTCATGGTTGGTTTATGTTTATATAGTTTGTAACCCAATTTTAAGTTAGATGAAATTATGGCAAAATTATTATTATCTGCAATCACACATTAGTTTGATAAATAATAGCTCTAAAATGTAATGATTGCAGTTTCATACCTTCATTATTTCCAAATACGTTTTCGGAAATTGCATTTAAATTAATTTCAGATTTTAGACTAGGATAGCACTTTTTAGATTTATTCTGTTGTTGAATGTAGATCTCTCCATCGGGACAACATTTCCACAAACAACGCCGTTTATCAACGCCGCAAATAACATCGCTTTTCAAACAAGCTCGCACCAAATATTTCTCCATATCATGTTTAAGATCAATGCAAAACTCGCCGTAATTAAAACTTTCGCCGCTCTTCATTCGAATACTTTTCTTATCATTGTCGATGTCAAAGCTTCCCTCGAAATCAGCCACAGCGTAATCATGAACCGGACATTCAGACAATCCAATTTTCATCACTTGTAGATAATCGCCAAATGCCGGAAGTGAATTTCCATGAACGCATTTGTGCGTTGATTTATCATATGTAAAATCTGGCGGACAGCATTTTGGAAAATAATTGTACTTTTGAATGGCTTCAAGGTTGCACATTGCTCCAAATAATCTATACAATTGAAACTTGCCATTTTCTTCCAAGAAATCAATGCAATCCTCTTCGCAATCTCCATTTTTCGAATAATTAGATATGGTAGCGAAGACAATCTTGAAACGATTATAATTATCGGCTTGTTTTGAACATTTAACGGTGTTATTAAATAATATAAGATGTTCATCTATGCCGCAACACTTTGATGAATGAATCAGTGCGTTATCTTTGAAGTTCGAGATGGGCTGCGTTGTTGCATTCGACTTGCACACTGAGTACACTGTGAGATACACTAATAAGTACACGAAATTGTAGAAAGATAAGATAGGCATCTTGATGTGCGAGGACTAGCCGCGGATTGATCGCACAATGTATACATCTGGCACGAGACTAATAAACGATTCGCAATAAGCGCGTAACCGGCGAAACCGACATCGACACTCGACTCCGCTAGGAGGAAAGTAAACAGAGCGGCCAATACGACGATCGAAGTGCGAGCTAGTTTGTTCTAGCCGTTCTAACCCATCATCTCACCTGATTGACGTGATATTGGCTGATTACTTAGAAATCACCAATTTAAATTGATTGAATTTATCACTCTAATTTTTGGAAAATGGACAAAGATATTTTAATAAAATTTTTCTGGAAATAATTTATGATACAAATACTCGTTTATTTATATTTAAATAATATATTTCATAATACACTTTAGACATTTCACACTTCTAATTCGTAAAACGTAAAGATTTAACCCTTTACGAACTCTTTTGTTAACTAATTCAGTAAAATGTGAAAACAAAATTTATTTCACTTTATCACATCAATTTATTACATATACATTTGTTTCTGCAATACTTTATACACTAATACCCCGATGAATCAATTATTTACCTACCCAATAACTGATAACAAAAATTAATTAACAGTAATGCATAAATAGTGTATTATTAGCATATGATTGATCCAATCTAAATGAAACCTACTACGGTATATTACATACACCGATAATACCGAAATGAAGGTCTCAATTGCATTTACGTTAATTTATGTAGTATTTTTATAAATGGTTACAAAACAAAAAATTGTGTTGTACTTAACATCGAGGCTCTTCAACGAGCGATTTATTTCGTTGAAGACAATTACAAAGATTTTAACGTTGATGGTTTATTGGGAATTGTCCTTACTGAAGGTATTTATATTTATTGGAATACAAAAGTTGAATATTAATAAATATATTCAAATTTTGATGAAGCTAATTTATGGAAATTGAAATCATTGATCAATTCCGATCTAGCTTTATTGGATGTAATCAACAATTTGTTAGTTGAGGTGGAAATTATTCGAATGAAAATGGATCACATTTTATCATCTCAGCATAAGCAGTTTAATTCTCGGAAATGTAAGTAATATAATATTTATGACTTTATGACTTACATATTTGTAAACGCTTTGTTTATATTAGATTTGGATATATTTAAACCATCAGATTGGATAACAGCAAAACATGATAAACCTGTTTATTTTCAAAACATAACGCCGTATTCAAATATCGGAAATACAAAATATCATTGCAAATTCTAAAATAGCTAAATATTACATTGAAGGAAACATCACTGTAAAAAGTAATCAATGCCTTTGTGCGTTTCTTTCTGAAATAAAATTAATAGATTGTAAAAAAGAACGTACATCGAATCATGTTCTCTCTTTTTGTGAAACATGTCTTGCTGGTACACTTTCAACACAAAATCTTCATGGATATCCATTAAGTCACTACCTGTTTATACGCCAAATTACAAAGCGTTTCGGACAGTATAAACTACCATTTGACGATAAGTTTACAAGAAAACTATGTTATTTGATGTTGAAAGACGCCAAAACAATTCTGACGTCAAAAACTGAACAGAATAGGGATCTGTACCTTGAGAATGGTTGGTATAATAAAAATAAAATAAAATGAATGTTGAAATGTGTTTTTTAGTGGTACTATGTTCTATTGAAAACTATTATGATACAGACTTTTTGATACATGGATACAAAGCGATGTTGAAATGGCAAACGAAGAGTGGATGCTTTTCAATTCTCAGTTCAACATTTAAAAATATCAAAACACGTAGTATTAACTTTGTAGGTGACACCAACAATTATTGCACCGATCATACTACTGGACTTGGAATGGCCGCCATTGCTGCACATTTAGTTGTGACATTCGCAAATGTTACATTTTCACAGATTAATGAATAAAAAGTTTACAATTGGTTATATAATTTCCAGATGTGTCTGATGAGCAGTTGTTTCAAAATGAGTAACATCTAATAATAAAAGTCAAACTATAACAGTTTACAATAATGCACTGCACAGATGTTAAACATTTATCAAACTGCATTTAATGTATGTATCAATATTATTTAACTTATAGCTGTAAACGATCCAATTAAATTAGTTTACTGAAATTTGTCTCATTGCTTTGGCACTTCTATTCCTCGAAGTATTTGTCGTGCTTGTGCTGTTTTGTGTAAATGATGGCATTGGCCCAATTCCTAAACGTCCTTTAATTGAAAGATAAACTCGTTTCTTCAAAATTAAAATGCAGAATATAATGATTCCTAAAACAAATATAACAACTTTTAGTATCATAAATGAAACACAAATTAAATCAAAATATGTCAAACCTTGTGTGGAGTTAATATAATCCCCAATAGCTTCTATAATTAGTGTCACAGAAGTATCGTGAAACGAAATTACAGAAGAAACAAACTCGAATGTCCATGGCATACCCATCACGATAAATATTTTCAGTAACATACCAAAACTAAAAATAATTTAGGTAAATATTAATTTAATTTTTATGTTTTATTATAAAAATACGTTTCTTTGTCGTCAAGAAATCTCTTTCGTTTGGCACGTTTTGCGTTATTATTTTCCGGTGCCATTTGCATGCGTTGTATTTCGTTCTTTACGTTGTAGCAGTACAATGACGTTTTGATAAAAAGAACGACATTTACCAACAGCATCACAGCAATTGGGAAGAGAAAAAAAAGTATGTAATCATATGTTCCATCTCCTAAAATTATTATTATAATTAAGGTATTAATTTTATTTTTTTTATGGCAACATACGTTTCTCAAAATAACATGATAATATTCCAATGTGTGGAATAAATGGATCCGGGAGAAATTCAGTAAAAAATGCCAACAAAGCAAATCCACATACTATAATCGGCACTCCCCAAGCGTATATATTATAATAGATAAACTTTTTAAGATCTGTTTTGTTTCTTTGCATATTTGCAGTTTTCACTGTTCTGAAAAAAAAAAGAAAAAAATCATTTTAATTAAAAATATAATTATGTGAACATTAAGTTTGCATTAGTGAAATGACACAAACAACATGATTTCAAAAGCTTGTGGTCTTCTTGAACGTATTAAAATTGTTTTCATTCCATTTGAAAGTATCAATGCTTGAAAAACTTTTAAGATCTTATCACATAAAATGCTGGCGTCGACGCCTGATTGACGTAATACACTTTGCGCGTAACTTTCTATATTGGCAATTTTGCACATGTTTGCAGAAAGTACAAACATCCATTTACGAGTGTACTCATCCTCGTCAGAATGTTGCAAATAGGGCATTGATCTTTAATACAACTAAATAAAGACCAAAAATACATATAGACTAGTTTCTTAATTATTATTTTTATCACCAATGCAGTAAGTGATAATTTCTCCACCTATTACTTTTATGCGCAATAAATTAATTAGTGAAATGTGTGTACTCAATTAACGATCAAGGATTCTTAAAATTAATCATCATTTATATTGCGTAGGTTAATTTACGATAATGAGTATATTTAAAGCAAACATTAATTTTAATGATAAAATAAGTGCAAAATTAATTAGACCTGACTCACCCAAAGGCGATCCACATGTCAAAGCAAACGACATTCATCCATGCGAATGCACCAAGAAACGTAAACGTTATAAAGAAACCTAAAAAAAATCTCACAATAAATAATAGCTTATATTTTACAATGTTGTTTAAAAATATATCAGATATGAATAATTTATGACCTGCACTTGTAAACAATTTGCTTTATTCGTATGTTTAGTTCAGTCTAAATTTAAAGTATATTTTTTCATGAACTTACCTAGAGAAACGCAGATTTTGTAATTATCATGACGTCCCATCTGAACAGAACACAATGCTGCACATCCTAGCCACATGAAGATGCAATACATTAAAATGCATCTACCATGAACATTTTGTAATACGGGCACGAAAATGTAACACAACATTGTGATAAACATAAATATTGAGGAAACTCCTAAAATACCTCCTTGGATAAAGTACTTTAAGTGTTGATACATTTTAATATTGTTTTCGGAAAACAACAGAAATATCAGCGGTTCTAGCTCATGTTTTGGGCTAAGAAAATGATCTGTGCAATAATATGCGTTTGTTGGATTTAAAATTATCCAATCGCCGTTTTTCAAAGTGTGAAAATAACCAACTTCATCAATGAAGAACTCATGTTCATTTCTTGCCATGTATTTGTTGCCAGGCGACGCAAAAATAATACCATAATCAGTATCTGAAAATGTTAATATTATTTACATATAGCAAAAAAAGTTATTTTTTACCCGATGGCCTAAATCTGGTATTTTTCGACACGTTGAATGGTGCTGTATAGAATGGTAAACAGGAACCTCTTCCATTACGTTTTGCATATGTTTCTCCATCTGGACAACATTTTTTCAAACATCGTTTTTTCATTGTATTACACACAACTTCGTTTGGTAAACATGCTCTTAACACCCTTTTATCATCAGATGCACTTTTATCAATACAATATGATTTATAATTTATTGAATGTTCACCAACAGTAACACTTCTGTCACTTTCGTTAATAATAAATTTTTCATCAAAGTCCACTATTGCAAGTTTTGAACAGTGAGCCAAGCTTATATTAAACACTTGTAAATTATCCTCAAATGTGTAGACTTTATCACTTATTTTCACACAAGTATGATTTAAGCGATCATACACATAATCATTGGGACAACACTTTGGAAAATAAATATAATTTTTATAAGTTTCTGCGATAGTGCAATTTTGCATGCGAACTAAACTCCAATTTCCACTGTGATTAATAAAATCGACACAGTCAACGTTTTTGCAATTGTTTGCGAAATCACTTTCATTTGATATTATATGTCTTGCAGATATTTCAAAATGTGTCAACTGTAAATTGTCCTGAGAACAAAATGTCGTTTCTGAAGTTACTTCTAATGCTGAGTGTAAAGCACAACATTTTGGAAGATGTGCAAAATTTGTATCCAAAAATTGTTGATTATCACTGACACTTTTCACTTGATTACAATTACTAAATATGATGAATGTTAATATTACATAGTAATATTTCTTATTGTAAGTTGAAGTATTCATTTTGATTGAATATTATCCTTGAGTAGTTGAAGCACTTCTCAAGGCGTCACTAAACTTCGCGTGCATTTAAATGTTTTAAAACACCGCAACAAATGTGTTATGTCCACGGCTTTTCGCGAGTTTTCCCGCGAGGAAATGTGTATAAGAAAATATGTGAAATCGCGCAGCTGACATGCGCTGTAAGGAGATCGAAGCCAACAGAGTTGGGCACCGATCTTACGGACGTGTTAGAAAATAATGATGAACGTTCTTCAAAAGAAAGTATAGGTAGAGAATGGATTGTGTATGTTTGGCAATCGTAATAAACACAGGCAAACATTTTTTCTACATATTAGTCATTCCTTAAGGTCTCACAATATTACAGTATCTACTAAATTGGAATTCAAATTATTTGCAGGCGCTATTTCTTATCAATGTTTATTCGTTCTAAAAATTAATTTTGCAATACACTTGGCATATTACCAACTGACATAACATTGAATTTATTGGAAATGAGTAACAAGAATGAATTATTCATTTAAGACTTACATATGTCTATAATGTGATTGAAAAATGTTTTTATTCAGTTTAAATAATGTGTAGTACTTTTTTATCAATTACAATACATTAAGTATTAACCGGGAGCTTTATTCACGACATTGATTAAGAAAACCGTGTAATAACTGTCGTTTTATAGGTGCAAGTAAAAGAAGATATTTTTTACTGATTTACCCAGTATAATGAAAAAAAAAACATCTCAAAACTCACAACAGTAATAATAACTCGGTTTTCTTTCCCGGTCATTTTTATGTTACTGTATATTTACTTCTTTTTTTGTCAAATTTCTTTGGTAATTTTCCACAAGACATTACGAATTTATATAAAATATAAAGTATTCAGCCATAACCTTATGTGGTGGGATTTACTAATAACTAAAATGATAATAGCGAATAGCAAAAATAATCTTTATAAATAGTATACGTTCGAAAGCGAGTTTGTTTATTACAATTAACGCAAAAATTAGGTACACCATCAATCATTATGAAATGTTGAACACAAATTTTCAAAGTTATTCCAAAGAAAATTTCGAAAATTGCATTATTGTCATTTACATAAAAACTGAAATTAAGAATCTTATTTGCGGAGAAAGGACAACCCACCAAGGTGCTCTGCCATGTCTGAGGCTCTGCTCTGTATATTTCCCTGATTTGATATTAATTTACGTTTCAAAAATTGAAGCAGTAAAACTGACGTGTAGGAACTAAGACTTCCCAATGTATGAATGTATGTAATTTCATCATAAGATAAACCCGACAACATTGAAATGTCTACTAGCATTGAACCAATTAGAATCCCTTGTTCGCTACTTCTCGAATCAACCCCAAAAACAAACCGTCTGATTTATTTGTTTATGTACTGGACAATTTAAGTAGGCTACGAAAAACCCAAATAGGAATTCAATTATGTTGCATAAAGAATTTTCGCATTTGCAGAATTGTACATTATTAATTGTCTTAAAAACAAAATTCATGTTGATATGTATGCTCCGTACGTAAAAATCTATTAGAAAATATTTGAAATGTATAAGGAATTTTCAAAAAGAATCCGAACGGTATAGGCTTTTCCATAATATTCATGGTACAAATTATAAACCCAGATCGTAGTTCTGTTTCCTGCCACTGGCTGCGCAACAGTTCAAGACGTTCCGATGTTATTATTATTATTACACGTAAACACTCGCTGGCTTGAAAATGTTGAATTAAATTAAATTTATTTAAATATGTCAATTGCAACAAAACTTCCCGCGTAAGGATTTAAATTAGTACTTCTTGAAGAATCGCGCTCTACCGGCGAAAGTTCTGCCCCCTAAATTGAAACAATTGAAACCATTCGTTTGACATTACGTTTGGATCTATACTTCGTGATAACATGTAGGGGAGAGTAGGGTAATGGGAGTCAGCGGGTAATGGGAGTCACCCACATATTTTTATTTTTGAGCTCCGTTGATCTAATTTTACTATGATCACGCATATAAACTATTTATTATTTCAAATTTTGCGCTAAATACGCGCACATCAACCTCGGTTTTTAGGTATTCAATTTTTGACAACTTTTAAGGTTTTTGCTGTACTATCTTCAACCCAGGGGAATATATACGAGATAATGTGTACTACACGTGCCTGACGTTGCTTGATTTTGGTGATCGGACGAGAACCGGTATATTCAACGTGGTATGACAGGTGCCTACTGGTATAGTATTAATATAGGTATTTAATAACACAATCGTCCTTGAAATCTTTTAGAAAATTTCAGTTTTACTTTGCCTATTCTCTTGTAGTTAAAATATAAACTTGCAGTGCGAGTTACCAATGCCACAAAATATCAATAATTAATTATTGTTATAAATAAAAAGCCAACTGCACGAAGAGTTCAATGCTACCTTTTGCAAAACAATCATTTAAAGTTTGTCAATTTCCCTAAAAAGATTTTCTAATATCACAGTTTAACTAATTTCAAGGACGAATTATGTGATTAAATATCTACTTTACTACTATACTAATAGGCAACGGCCATACCACGTTGAATATACCGGTCCTCGTCCGATCACAAATTTGTGTATCTACATATGTACAGATTATATTTTTGTAAATAAAGAGTTTTTTTAAATGTCAAAAAAAATGTCCGATCACCGAAGTCAAGCAACGTCGGGCACTGGGTAGTACTTGGGTGGGAGACTGCTTGGGAACTCCGCGTGCAGTTGCCTTTCTATACCATACATACTTGTATGGTATTATATATATATATTTATATTTATAATATGTTTATAATATATATATATATAATTTTTATATATATATATTAGGCATTCCCGCCCATTCGTGGGCATTGCCATCTTAAATTTACAGATTTACAGATCCTTATTCGGCGGATCAACCGTATTCTATATTTGATTTATAATTTCTTTCCATTTTCTTCTGTTTCTTGCTTTATTTTTCCACTCTGTTATTCCTAAGTATATAATAAGTATTGTATGGTATTAATATAGATATTTAATGATATGTTTATTATTATGTTTATTTTGTTTATTTATTATGTTTATTATTTTATTATATGATATGTTGGGATATGTTTTTGAAATTTTTTGTAACATGCAGAAAGTCCCAAATATTCGAATAATTAAAAACTAGTAATAGTATTAACATGTTTCGCATCGAGGGGATTTCTCATTTCCATAAATTAAAATTGTGAACCTTTTGTACACGAGCATTTAATCTGCTGATTTTAAAATTTCTTAAAGTCTACCCTAACGAAGTTGTGAAATCAATTTATGTACAAACTAATCACCCGGATGCACATAATCAATGCGGCAACCAAAACGACTAATATCGCTCCACAAGTGGTAACCAAGGTAACCATTAGAGAAGCTGAGGCAAATTGGGTTGCATAATTTCTTATGCATTTGAATAATAATTTCACGAAGTATAATTTGATTAATACATATATAAATAATAAGAGTACCAGATATAAGCTTCATTATCGTAGACCAGTGATCAAAAACAATTTGACCCTATATAATTTGTCCACATGCATGTTTACCGAAAATATCTATAAAATGTATATGCTGATGAATATACTAAATGTTTATTTTTAAATAAACAGGGTACAAGGTTGAGGTATAATTTTATCACAATAATACATTTAAAAATAAGAAATATGTATTGCATTGAAGAAGCTGATACTTGCTGAAACTTCATGATAACTAATAAATTTTAAACGAAATTTGTTTGTTGCCGGATAAGAAAAGAAACAAACCAGCCACTTCCGTCTTTGTAAACTCGTCACCCTCGATACCCTTTGTGATGAAATTTTTAATAAACCTTGCTTAATACGAATTAATTTTAAAATAATAATCTATCATTTAAGATACTGCAGCGTGAAACAACATTTATTTGTTAGTAGATAATACAGAAATGTGTTTAAACTATACTTATATACACAAATACAAAAGTACATATAAAATGTTTCTAAATAATTCTAATAATGGCACATACAATCACTGGATAAAAATTTGTAAACACATACTGGAGTATCTAATGTATTACAATCAGTACTTTTGTAAATTTGGATGTTCTATCGTTTGCCAGAAATGTTAACAACTCTGTGTTTGGTTATCATCATATTATGCAATCGTTGCGTGACCCGGAACACACCTAAAATTGTTTATTCCTATCTTGAAATATTTATACAATCTGCAGAAGCGCCATGCATAAAACACAGAGAACAATAAAGACCACCAACTATATGGGTAGAAGTGCTTTCCTGGTTAAGCTCGCATTCTAAACTACATTTATTAGTTTCACGTGTGATTTAATTATGAGTGCGGTGGTATTCGCTTCCATTGAGAGTGTTACCGGTGTTACCGTTACCCGTGTTACCACTTCCAGAAGTTAAATCGTTTGTAATACCTGTACTAAATTCCGACACACGGCGAGTCGGTTTCATTCCCAATCGTGTCTTTATTGATATCCATACTTTTTTCTTTACAATGAATATGAAAAAGATTATAATTCCTGTAAATTAAACAACTGATCAGTATAGGCAAGCAAAAAAATAACAAAATTAAACATTGTAATAACCTTGTGATGCATTAAAGCAATCTATAACAGCTTCCACATCACGCAAGACAGAAGTATCCGTAATCGAAAATATTGAAAACAGTGCTTCAAAAGTCCACGATATTCCCATAACCAGAAAAAGTTTTACCAGCATTATCAATCTAGAATTAATGTACACAAAAAATAAAAATACGAGTTTAACATAGGCAACCACACATACTTTTCTTTGTCGTCTTTAAATTTGCGCTGTTTCGCTTCTTTGTTATCACCAATTGAGCCGCGCATTTTATGAATTTCGTTCTTCACTTTATAGCAATAAACTGCTGTTTTAATAAAATATACGACATTAATCAGTATCATTGTGGAAACGGGGATGATGAAGTATATAAAATAGTCGTATGTAGTATGTTCATCTAGAAGGAAACGAAATTAATGGATTACATTATAATCTTTCTCAAAACTTACATTTCTCGAAATAGCATTTGACTTTTCCAATGTGCGGGCTGTATTCATCCGGAAGAAACTTGAAGATGTGCGCAGTCACAGCAAATCCACAAATGATAATTGGTACTCCCCATGCGTAAAGATTGTAGTACAAAAACTTCTTTTGATCTTTTCGCTTGTTTTGTACATTTAGCACCCTCATCGTTCTGTAAACATTCATGTAGTTATCAATTAAGCCAACATTTTGGAAATATATGACTATGAATATAATATGTAATCCGAAGAGAAATCTCTCTTTATAATGTCTTCCTTGTTGGTCATTTTAAAGCAAATTATATTAAACATTACGCCGTTAAAATGAAAGTCAGTGACTCTAAGTGACGCTAACTTTCGATAACATGTTTGCGTACAATTTATTTCTCCCACGTTTGCAAGTGTCTTACGAATTTTGAACGTCTAGAATGAGAAAAAAATACACTTGTATATTTTCTTAATGTCTGCTCTCTGCCGCATCCAAAGAGAACTAATATTTAATTAATATTGCCTCTTAAACACACATTAATTTGTATTATGATGCTGAACACGTTGTGCTCGAAATACATATTGCTTCCAGCAATCCGTTGTTTGATTATCGTTCATATGACTAATCCAAACAAAGCAATAAAAAAGTACTCGTAAGCACCACAAACAATGCGTAAAGGCATGATTAAGAAATTGCCGGCGAATAACTGTTTTAGAAATATTTTTTTTCATTATTTCCATAACGTAAAAACGTGTACTAACAAATTTACAAAGTTTTCTAACAAACGTAGCTATTTGTAAAAATAGAGCGTTCGAAAATATTGCATTTGGCAATTAATTCGCGCCTGTTTACGATAAATCGCCGCCTACGCTGTCAGCATTCACCTCCGTGGTAATATACAACATCCATTAAAAAATATAAGCTTTCCACGGTTTGCCAGCTTCAGCAAACGCAATTTTACAGCCACACGTTCAGATCATCGTTGCGCAGAAGTTTCGTTTATGTTTGAATGTGAGGTTGAAACCGTTTTAGAATAAATTTAAAATATGTTCAGCCGCTTCCATAAACTATATAAAATTATATGAACAACACTTTTATAGAATAAAAGAGTAATATTGAAAAATTTTCAGTCTAGAATTCTTTAAATCAACATTAACTCTGATTTTAATTTGAAACAATTGCGTTATTAGAATTATATACGTGATAAGTACACAAATTGTTCATTGCATTAAAAAACTACTCCATAATCAAAAAACACAATTAGCTAAATTACGAAAGCTCGTTTCAGAAAATTTGAATACGCATGAGTTGTCATCGTAATGAAATGATTTATTCAAAGCATCCTGAATTAGTGGATCATCTATATTTAGCGTTCAAATTATCACATTAAGTACACTAATTGATTAATCCGTAAATCATTTCTACATATATCAAGATACAAAAACAAAAATTGTGCATAATTCAATCAAAGCATGAGTTGAATTTTATTTGTTTATCGTATAGCCAATTAATTATGATCTCATAGATATAATTTAATATATGCTGCTATGCATTCATTGTCATTTCAAAACACATTAACTGCACGAATTGTTTTCAACTAGCAATTTTGTAGATGTAGAAATTGTCTCTGCTTTGTTAAAGTTTTTTCTACTAATAACAAAGCTGTCAATGAGAATTTCATAAAAATGGCAGTAATGTAAAGCAATGTTGAGTAATATACTTTCTGTTCAACAAAAACTCTCAAATGTGAAATCTCAAGGTAAGAAAAACTTAAATTTTCAAGCCGGTTTTGTAACAAACCGCATAATTAAATATTAGTTTACGCTTATACAACACACTTACATTTGGAAAACACAGCTCATTCTTAAACATTCTTTTGCATTCACTAAAACGACCTAATTTTAAATTCATCGAATTTCTTTTTTAAGAATTTTATTTTTATTTTTAGAGCCCTTACGTTCGAGAAAGAACTTATAGTTCCTAGCCATTTATAATACCCGCGGACCTTCACGCCAATTATCTTCGGCGTCTGCTATGTAAAACATAAACAATTTATTTCTGGAAGCAAAACAATACACAAAAATCTTTTATGCGTTGGCAATTTGTTCAAAACTAACTAAACTTGCCATGAAAGTTAAACAATAAACAGCAACGCTAGTATTTATTTAGAGAAAATGTTTTTCAAGTTTCTCTAACTCCTTGCATTATCCAGCTTGCAATTCAAGTGATCCACTTACCCAAAAGCCATCCACATGTCAAAACAAATGACGTTCATCCACGCAAACGCGCCAAGGAATGAAAACACGATGGTAAATCCTGAAAGCAGTAAAAATAGAAAAATATATCAGTTTTAGCAATTGATGAATAGTGTGTCGGATTAAAAGAAATTTAAATCAAAGTATTATTTCAGATGCATTATACAACATTTCATCACTGCTGAAAATTGTATAAAAACGTAGTCAATTTAAAACATTTAAGTACATTTAAATGTTTAGATACATTTGAAGTATTTATGCAATTTGATTGATTTGATTCTATTTCTATGCTCGCGTAATAAACAAATCACGTTTTCTTCAGCCACATCCTATTTCTATTTGAATGCATAGTATTAATTTTAATAATTATAAAGGCCACAACTTACCAATTGTAGTGCAGATATTTATTGATGGTACTTTATGTAATTGCGCAAAACTCAAATTTAGAAAACCCACAAACATAAAAATGCAAAACATCATAATTGATTTTCCATGTACGTTCTGCATTTCCGGCAAGAACATGTAGCACATAATTGTGAGCGCAAGAAAGAAGCATGAAAGTCCTAAAGTTATACCATTAACGTAGAATTTGACCAATTGAAAATTAAATATTTGACCGACGAACAAAAACGATGTAATTTTCTCATTATAGTTTTCAACACAGTAATATGCATCTCTAGGGGACAGATGGGCCCAATCAGAATCTTCTTCTCGAATATGAAAATCTCCTTTCATGTCTACGTAAAATTTGTGATTAGTTGTTGCTAAATATCTCTTCACTGGTCCAGTTCGTAATATGCCATATTCTATATTCTCATCTGCAATAAACAAAACTTCAATTGTTTTAACATGAAAGAAAACATAAAAACACATAGGTATTAGCATTTCAATATAATAGTAATAAAAAATAGTTTTAGCGAAACAGGAAACAACAAAGACGGTTTTGTCTGAGCCAGACTGGTTATTTGGTGAATGTATGTATTATTATGTGTACACACTAATATAATTATTGTTTCCACACTTGTTTTACATCGTTCGCAAACTGACTGAAACATTTAATAGCAAAACAGTTCAGAGTTATTTTATCCTTGACTATTCAGTACTACTATTAAAAATAATAATTTAATAATACTAATAACTTTCATTTTGGATCAAACTGCATTATTAATTGCAACTAGTGACCAGTGGCAAAGTTTCAACGTATAAATACGTCATTAAGAATTGTTTGAGTGGATATTGGGGAATACCAGTTTTTCTTTTCTTATTCGAGTAACAAAAAATAAAACCCAAAAGTCTTTTTAAGATGACTAATCAATTAAAACTTGGTTTACAAAATTTACATTGCATTACATAAGCAACAAACAAGTATATAATTAATAAATCCTCTATTGTTATTGTTCTCCAACAACACAAAATTATGTAATTACCTGACTGATGAAATCTGAAATAATTAGATAAATTGAACGATGAGGAATAGTGTGGACGACATTTCGGTGGTCCAGGGCCAAAAGTTATATAGGCTTCTCCGTCCGGACAGCATTTCTTAACACACCTCTTCTTCATTTTCTCGCAAGCATCTTCATAATCCATACAAGCTCGAATCATATCCTTTCCACTCCTTATATTTTTATCAATGCAATATCTTCCATGTTTAAAACTTTTACCGCTGGTTAAGGTAACGCTTTTGTCTTCATTCACTTGAAACTCATCGTACAGATTCACAATGGCGAAATTAATTGGCGGACAATGCGACAAACTCACATTAATAACTTGCAAAGATTCATTAAACGCGTACACGGTGTGATTATGCGGCACACAATTATAATTTTCTGGATCGTAGACCTGATCAAACGGACAACATTTCGGAAAGTCAAAATATTGTTTATATATAGTTTTCGCATAACAATTCTGCATTCGCGTGAGGTACACTTCGGTGTCATTTTTCAAATAATCGACGCAATCAACACCCTCACAATTGTCCGAAAAGATTGTTGTGTTCGTTGCAATATTTGACGCGAAAATTTCCAAATGTGTCAACGTTATTTCGCCAGCGGTGCAGTTGAAGCCATCGTCAGTCACGATTAGAAATGTTTGTAGCGGGCAACACTTGGGAAACGATGCAAAATCGCCGTCGATGAATTGAACATAATCATTGTTTTCCGTATCACAATTTACGACTTCGCACATAAAACACAATATCAGTACAGCAAAACACTTTATATTTAAAAACTTCGGCATTTTAGATCAAATAGTTGAACAGTCTAAATATTATTTTGAATTAACACTCTGCTATTTGAACAAGACTTATTTGTATTTGAAAGTTTAGAGTTTGGGTATTTTTGCCGCTCACATGCTGTGCCAACGAGCCGCACATAACAACTAAGCATGGACTCGTAGCTAACGATGCGGATAAGCGCGATTCGTTCATCATGGAAGGTCGTTTCTTCGAATACCGTACAGCTATACCAAATGCGCACCATAAAAACTACCTGCTAGTGAGTGCTACTATACATTTGTTTTGTCGCCGCTTGTTCACATTATTTGGCGATTTGTTGATTTTTTCATTATATACGAAGTGGTAATCATACAATCAGTCATCATGATTCTGAATGTCCGCATGATGCGGACTTCAATTTGCTAATGGGAAAAACACTAAAAAGGTTTTACTTTTGCAAGTCAAATGTGCTTGAGTTTATAATGCTATAGACAAAAAATTAGACCAGTGTAGAAAATACAACATCTGGTTTCCCACGTTGAACTCTAATGTACAAATTAGTTTATGCAATATTTTAACGTTTTTATGCTAGTTGAGGTTAGCTAATGGTATCACTTCTTTACCGTACATTGTAAATCGAGCCATGGGAATAGTAAAATAGTTAACAGTATTTCACTTTGACATTTCGAAATAATTGAAACGGTTCAGACCAGAGAATGTCACACCCTAACTTTACAAAATGGAAGTCGGCTATACCTGGAAAGAACTGGAAAGGTGAATTCATGAATAAAGACACATTTAAAAAAATACATTTTGTATATGTGCATATCAATAATTGCTTATGTTAAACGTTACGCTGCCAAAGTAGCACTAAGTGATTCCAAAGTAGTGGTACCAATAACATGATCTGTTTCCTCAAATTGTTTACAATAATTTCCAACCATTTCTTGTTTCTCTTTTAACTCAAGAATTCCATCCTTCAACTCTTTCAATCCATCCACACTCCCAGCATTCTTAATCAGTTGGTGGATTTTTTCTGAACTACTCAAAATCAACTCTTGTAAAACATCCAACTGACTCTGATCAGTAAGTGCATCAATGTTTCTTAAATACAGTGTGTGTGATGCAGATTCCAACAGATTAAGCAATGAAACAACTTGTTGTTCAATTTGGGAATTCAAAATCTTCTTACTTGCAGCAACATGAAGTTGTAAACTTTTAATTTTATTGTTTAATTCCTTTTGACTTTTAAGCATATCAAGTTTTTGCTGCAGTTCCAATTCTTCAACATTTAGACATGTTGCTTTATCCATAAAAATTGACAATTGATCAGCAGTAATTGTTTCATGTTTTTCAATTTGTTTTGAAAAAATCAATGCCTTGAGGAATGCTTGAGTAACCTGATTGTTTAAATACTTTAATTTTATTTCATCCCTTTTTTCTTTGCTATACAAAGCTGGAGTGTATGGTTGGGAGCGTGAGTTTCCCAACACTGTGATGTTTAAGCCAGATTCTGATCCTTTGGATGAACCATGTAAACTTCCATTTAACACAGTACGATTTAAGTTTGCTGATTGTTGAACCCTTAAGTTGCGGCAATTATTCATATTTAATACTAAAAGAAATAGTCTAAAAAACAGATAACATTTTTAAAAGTTTACCTAAAATTTAAATATTTAAGGTTATAATTACTAACCGTCGAGATTTTTGCCAAGACCACTGCCAAAACAAATCAAAAACACTGACTATGCATATACAATTAAACCTATCTATTAATAAGTAATTTAAACTTATTTTAAATAGTCTTCAATACTAAAAACTTGCAAATAAAAGATTTTAGGTGTACAACGGAATTTATAGTTGCGTACATCACCAACAAGAGGCGCTATTATTCATTTTTTTGAAAAGCTGACAATTGACAGACATTGACAGAGACTTGACCTTTGTGACAACAGCTCTTTTGAGGTTAACTACGTGGACCAAAGCAAAATATAAACATAAATAATTAGTGAATTACTCTTCCGTCATGGCTCCGACACGTAGAAACCGCACGGGCTTAATTGCCAAAGTAAATTTCCCCTTGTACACCGTGCAAATGCTAACAGGTCGCCACATATTGGTGGGTGGAGGCGGAGGAACAGCCAAAACAGGGGTTGCAAATGGATTTGTAAGTAGTACTCATAATTAATTAATAATATTGACTTAAATTGTACTTCATCTGAAGGAGATTTATGAAGTATTCCATGATGGAGAGAAGTTTGTTGCACGAGAAATTATAAGACATGAAACAGGCACTAGTGTAGTGATGAACTGTGCCACATTCAGTAACAACAAACACACCTATGTAGTGGCTGGACAAGAGAGTCAATGCCAGCTTTACAGTGTACATTCTGAACTTGTTATAGATGAAAATATAGAAACATTGACAGACAGTGTAAAAAGCAATGGAATCAGGCATAGAAAGCACTCTGAATCAGAAGCTTCAAATGAACGCCGACATTCTAAAGTTAAAAATGATAGGACGAAAAATAATAATAATAAGAGTATAACATTTGTTATAAAACCAGGTGATAGTGTGAATACAGATTTTCATTCCGAAGAGCCTGTTCAGAGGGTTGTTAGGATTTCACATGATGGTAAAATTATGGCAACAGGTATAATTTTGTAATGCAATTACAGTGTAGATAACTAATATATCTAATGAAATTTTAGGTGGTGTTGATTGCCAGGTTAGACTATGGAAATTTCCTGCAATGCAGCAGATGAAAACATTGAGTGGCCACAAAAAGGAAATTGACGACATTGACTTCTGTCCGATATCGAACACTGTGGTGACAATAGCGAAAGACGGTCTTGCTATACTGTGGAACATTAAAACGGGCAAGCAGCAGGACCAGTTGAAGTGGGATCAGCCCAATGGATCAACGTACTTGTACAAACGGTGTCGGTTCGGGCCCATTGAAGGCAAAAAAGAGAAAAGCGCGCTGTTTATGTTAACCAATCCCACAGGTTTGGCTAAAAAGCAAAAATCTTATCTACAAAAATGGGCCCCGGAGGATGCGGCACTGGTGAAGGCTGTGGCAATTGATGAGAGTTTATCAGCACTGGCGGTGCGAGACGATGGACGATTTGTTGCGATGGGGACTATGTTTAGTGGATCTGTTTCCATTTACATCGCATTTAGTATGCAGGTACTTCTTAAACGACACTGCTTTAAATTATATGACAGGGTAAAATGTTTGTAAAATAAATCAACAAAAGATGCAAACTTTTTCTATGCCATATTAAATTGTTAGTGTGGTTGCATAAATTTTAATCGTGAAAAAGTATGATTTATTGATCTACATGTGTTTTTCAGAGGGTTTTACACATTCCGGGTGCGCACTGCATGTTCGTGACAGGGTTGGAGTTTCTTCCAGTCGCGAGCGATAAGCACGCCGTCACCAGTATATCCGAAGCAGCTGTGGTATCAATTTCCGTAGATAATCAAGTCTGCATTCATAGCTTGCCTTATAGACGTAAGTAAAGATTACACGACTTACAATCATAATGAAAAGTATAATTAATCCAATTCTCATTGTTTATGTTTCAGATTCAATTCCATTGTGGATCGCGATCTTGATTATTGTGTTTGTATTGATATGCACGTTTATACTTTGCTCATTCATGGGCATTTAATTAACTAAATAATTCTCATATACTCTAATGATATATCTAAATAGTCGGAAATTGTTATTTAAATGATGGTTAGTGGCAAAGTTAAAACATTCAATTCAATTAATGGTCAGTGCTGGTGACGTGTGCCGTGATGAGAGTTGTTTTTAAAAAACAAGTGTACATTGTTGAGTGCAACAACACCTAAAATTTTATACACAAATAAGTAATATATAGACGCTGTGCATTGTTGAAATGTTTATTATTTATGCTGAACATGACTGCAAACAAAATCTACTTTTTTTCTTTTTACCTATGTTCCGCAGATGTAATTACTTTAATATTTTATATTTTTTTATAATTAATCAACTAGGCTTAATGTGGAACTTGCATCTGAAGTAGCAAGCATATTTACATCATTTATATTAATAAATTCTCTGAATCCGTAGTCGCATTCAAAGTTTTGTTGAGGGTATAAAGTTAAATCATTTTCCAACATCGAAGTATTTTCGCAATGTTGATATTTTTTCTTGTTGTCTGGTGGAATTCCCTTCTAAAACAAATATATACACAAAATCAAGCAAATAATTTTTGGAAATTTTCAATATTTTTTACAACTTAAATTGACTTACATTCATTCCTTTCTTGTGGGCAATACAAAACGTACAAACAGAATTACGACTTGGAACATTTTCATTAGTGTCATAATTAATTATATTGTGACACGGAAGTCCCAAAGATCCTAAAACAAACAAAAACAGTAGTCAAGTATAATTTTTCTACTTCCACCTTTTAAACCGCTACTTCTTACACGAAAAGTGGCACTTTAGTCTCGTACCGCTAAGACTACTTTAGTCACGATCTTCAGGTATGGTCGCTAAACGTCGTTAAACTAAACAAAAGTACCGTTTAACGCACTTGATACTTATTTTACTAGTAATAAGTAAACAAATTCAGCCGCAAACGGCTAATAGTATATTCGGTTTCAAGTGGCTAAACGGAAGTTTTTGTCACGAGATTGATTAAGAGCGAGCATAGCGAACGTTTTTCAATGTTATGCTTACGCTATTATTTCTACTTCCACTTTATTTCCAGGTTGATGTTTTTGTATTTGAACTTTTGTATTTTAAATTTTCGAAATTTGACACTACTGGGAAATGTAGGGCCGCGCGCCTGCGCGAGTTTAGTCACGGCCTTGGTCGTCCGTATTTAAAGTCCTTTTGTGTCGCAAAACCGTGGAAAAAACTGACGCTTTTAAGGTGGAAGTAGATAAATATTTTTATTGTGCACAGGAACAAAACCGGCACATTACAATTATTTACCTGCCATTAATTGTGTAGCCAAATGTGATATGTAACTTGAAGCCAAACGCAATGTTTCAATTTTGGATAACTTTCTATCCTTTGGTTCAGTTGGAATTAAAGTACGTAAGATTACAAATGCGGAATTGACACTACAACATTAAAATAGATTAAATTATATTTGTATTAAACATATATCATTTTGTACGAACTTCAAAAGAGAATTGTACCTGTGAGTTCGATCCCTTTCACGTGCATTTGCTTGAGTACGCTGTCGAACTGGATAAACGGAAGAATCGGTTTGATCGAATCCAAAATTCGGTTGGGTTTTAAATGTTGTAACACTTTCCAGTTTTGCTTGTTTCGCAGAGCGTTTGCGTGATTTTGTATTTTTTATTGCTGACATTTTATTATTTTATTGAGAGTGAATTTACATCGGTTAAAACTTTAAAACATTGGTCCATACTTTGACACAGCCACTGTTCAACTGAGACTGGAATAGCGGCATTCGGTTTTGAACCAATTTGCAGCTGAACCACATGTGAGAGATGAGCACCCGGGCCTGTTTTAACTTTGTTTACAATCTGCTAAAGTCATCATCATCATCATTAGGGCAATCATCACTAAAATGATCTCCTTTTTATCAATTGTATTAAAACCTGTTGATTAATTGATAACTTTAGTATTTTTAAGCTGTAATAACATTATATTAGTATCTGAAGTTAAATCTTTCGAAGGCGTTTCAGTTTATTCGAGCAAATTGATGACGACGCATACAACTTGTTTTTATTGTTCGTTTCGATTAAAAAGCCATTAATTAATTTCAATCAATTTAAGTGATGACCTCAAATGGATTTTTATTCAAACAGTCATCGTTATAATATACGGGTGAATATTGTACCCTACATACTCAACTTTACAAATTTTGAATCTTATTTTGAAGTCGCTATGTGAGTCAATTATTTAAAAAATAGATGCTGCTCGAGTGTCAATGATTTATTACGTCCGTCACTTGCTTTGAATCCCTTTGTGACCTTTTGTAAACCGAAGGGGCGCGACACTAATGTTATTGTATCGGTATACGGGGGTGCGGTTCATCCCCTTTTTACAGACATCTGCTGTCATGCTGCGAACATATAGCAATGCAAATGTTATATTAGTGTCTTGCAGTCACATGCAAATGTATGTATAACAAAACTCTAAATTGAAAAGCGCACGCTTGCAATTTCATTTAGAGCGCTACTAATTACGCCGCCAATCTACTTTCATCTGAAATAATTAATTAATGGCTTGTTTCAAAACAAACCGCATTCTAGGAAGCACGAGATTTAATAAGCTAAAAATTATTTATACAGGCTGTTAATATATGTACTTTAAAAACTTTTTATTTCACGTACAAGAAAGAATGAATAAAAATGCAGTATAAAATGTAACCTAATGAAGTGATGGTTTAAAAATGTATTATTAAAATAACTTATGGAAAACATTTGGCGCTTAGATGAAAGTAATCTTCGTCCGCGTCTGATTGATTTGCCAGACATTGAGCTCTTCGTACTCTTCAATACAAGCGTCCACTTGGAACGGTTTGAATCCTTTCCCAGAGCACTTATCTTTCACATCATTTACGTTGACAGTCTTGCCTTCGCCGGCCATCTCCCTAATGAGTGCGAAAATTTTATCATTGGTGTTCGGTGCCCTGTAGTGCGTATTCTCGTTAACATTGTGATTCAATGAATCCTTGCTCATCTCCAACAAGCGGATCGCTTCGTTTACGTCTCCTTTCTCAACAATGTTAGACAAGCGCAGGCGTGCTAACGCTGTAGATAAACGCAAAATACCAAGAAGATTACGAGCTGATGTAAATGTCATATCGCTGGAGTTACGAGCATCTTTACGAAGCTCAACGTATGCGTTAACGAGGTAGTCAGTGAGCTCCTCAGGAATTATTGGTTCTTTAAGTTTGCAAAGTGCGATGTATTTGCGCATGACGGACATATCTAAGGCTGCAACTTTCGTAGGTGGCTGCTTGCAGTGCTGATGCACGTAGGTAATGTGCTTAGCGAGGCGAAGATCGTTATCACGATCGGCCCTGTCTTGAATTAGCCAGAGGATATCAAAACGGGACAAAAGTGCAGCGGGAAGGTGGATATTTTGTTCAATGGTACGTTTAGGATTATAGCGGCCGTAGGCAGGATTAGCAGCGGCCAGGATTGAAACTCTTGCATTTAAACAAGTCATAATACCAGCCTAAACAAGAGAAAATAACAAATGAAACAAATTAACAAAACAAAATATGATAAACGAACCTTGGCAATACTGATTGTTTGTTGTTCCATAACTTCATGGATAGCTGTGCGATCACTGTCCGCCATTTTATCGAACTCATCAATGCAGCACACGCCTTGATCAGCAAGAACTAATGCACCGCCTTCGAGCATCATTTCACCAGTCAATGGATCCTTCATAACAGCAGCAGTCAAACCAACCCCAGAAGAACCACGTCCAGTCGTATATTGACTCCTTGGCGCCAATCGGTCAATGTAAACCAACAACTGAGATTTGGCTACACCGGGATCTCCCATCAAGCAAATGTTAATGTTACCACGAATTTTCATTCCATCTGGGCGACGGTCAACACCACCAACCAACAGAAGCAATAAAGCTTTCTTCACATCTAAATGACCGTAGATTTCAGGTGCCAAACTACTAGCAGCAGTGGAGTAGAAATCATCTTCAGTGAGAGCCTTCAATTCCTCAGGTGTAAGAGATGCTGATGCGTTTTCGTCTTCTGCTGCTTTATTCAAGGAAATCAAACGCTGGAAGATAATATAGTATTAAACATATCCTTAATAAAACAATATTAGTCTTACATGAGCCTCCAAGTAAGTTTCCGACAATAAACCGCCAGATATTTGTCTAAAACCAGATCGAATCAAAGGTAAGAAAATACCAGTGGCGGCAATATGATCACCGGGAAGAGCCTGGCGAGTCACTTCTCCACGGCAGAAGATGGTCAATGAGCGTGGAATGTGACCAACGGGAACTTGATCACTCTGAAGTAAAACAATAAAAACGTATTAATAGAAATAAAAACAAATTCATATACTGCACTTACATGTTCTTGAATTCTAACTTCTTGGAACTTTATGAACTTGGATCCTCGAGTCTGCAAATACAATCTACCCCCAGACTTGTTAATGCGGCATGCATCACTAGGACACATCGTCAGAGGCATAAAACTCAATGAATTGATGGGTTGGTAAGTCTCAGCGCCACATTGATCGCATGTGTATGTAGCAACACACATCATAGGCTTTACTTCTGTGCACCTTGTCACAATACCGCGGACAGTTACCAGTTTTCCAATGGTTTCAGCTTTCACGTCGCGAATTGGTTGAGACTTTGCCAGGGAACTGTCTTTGAAGTAAACTTCACTGTAAACAAACATTTGAAATTACACTTTAACAGTTTCTCAAGCATTTAAATACAAGTTTGTAGTATTTTTTGAGACATCAGAAGTAATTTGCTTCAAAACTTTTCAGATAATGTAGGTAAGAATTAAAATCATCACATATGTATATACCTGTCTAGTAATGCAAAACTTATACTTACAAACGACGCATTAGCTCTGGCGGAAACTTATTCTGAGCATCCTTGGTCTCATTTGGCTGACGATTTTTTGCCTCCATCATTAGACGGTGCTCAATGTACACATCTAAGGCATCCTTTACAACAATATCATGCTCCTTAAAGGTGGGAAGCACCTCTTGGATGATATCAGCAGCCATGCTTGTGTATCTCCTGGTGTTATTTTTGATAGCTTCGGCTAACTCTTCATTGAAGTCATGCACATCATCTAGTTCAATCAGCAGAGAAACTTGTTCTCTATGAGCCAGCTTGGTCAATTGTGATGAATATTTGAAGTTCTTGTTGCCATGGGAGTCTTGCTGGCAGTATTCCATGAAGAAAGTCTTCATGGTTTCTAATTAACAATTAAACAGTAAGAACTGCTCCACAAGTTTATAATTAAATGAAATCTTACCCCTGTCTTTGTCGTAATCTCTCGTAGCCATTGTGAGAATTTATCACTTCTGTGCCAAGTTTAGAATAGAATAAAATAATTTTATATGAACGAACAAAATTAAGATAAAGCAGATGAGAATGAACGGACAAAACCCAACAAAATGCGACTGGCGTTAGTTTTGGCGGCAAAGCATGCCCTCCGAGCAGCAGAAGTAGTAAAAAGGAGGGGAAGGAATGGTTGTGATTGGTTGAAACAGTTGAATGGTAAAAGAATCCGTTAATTTTAGCGGCTTTCATTATCGTCCAATAGATGTGTCTGCATACTAGAGATTTCAACCGCAAACTCGAAATTTAGAATCTAAATATTTCTTCTTGCCTTCGAGGCAAAACATATAAATCTCGAACCAAAAATGTAATTCAATATTACGTAAATAGAAATAAAAGTAAAATATTATTTGTATTTAGTGACATTTTTATAATTTGTAGGTATATACTTATTTGAAAATGAAAGGTGATAGAATTACAATAATTTGGTTGGAGTTATACATATTTCGCCTCGAAGGCATCTTCAGTAACTAAGTTCAAATAAATATATACATATGGGAAGGTGGGGCAAAATGGGTCAATTACGAAAAAAAATGCCTTAATGCTCAATTTTTTGTAGTCCCTTGTCAAGTATTTGCCTTTAATTTACTGTTTATTAAAAATAAAAAAATTGAGAAAAGTTGGGCAAAATGGGCACCCAAAAAATCAAATCATGCAATTTTTCAATCATTTCTATAATACAAAAATTTTGCAAACCACTGGTATAAATAATCGCTGGTTTTTAAAGACTATGCAATCAATTTAACACCTAAATACTTTTTGTCTGAAAATTTTTGAGGGTCCATTTAGCCCCCATAAAAAGATAAACGTGGATTAGGTATTCGAAAAGAAAAGAAAATTTAGTGACCTGTTTGAACAAAATACAAGAACTTATAACTTCAATTTTCTCTAAAGTGGCATTGGTGCAGCTTCGAAGTGCACCGATACATAAGAAGTACAATAGTAATACTTGCGCTACAGTCCAAGCCAGGCAATAGCTTCCCTCAATTTCGACCTGCATTTTTCTTCGGGCGTCCTTTTCGAAGCGCGCCCATACAGGAATTAAAAGGCAAGATGGTATATGGCAATAAATTGTTAATAATAAGTACTATGAGATTGTAATAAAGTTAACTTTATTCTTATTTTCAGTTTATGTCTAATCGTCCTTGTTGTTCGTGACCTTACCACCACGAATACGACCGGTCCTCCTGGCAGCAATGAGACCAACCTTGCGACCAGCGGAGGTGCCTCGCTTGACGGTCGAAGCTTTACCGATATGTTGATGGTTACCACCACCATGGGGATGCTCGACAGGGTTCATAGCAACACCACGCACCTTCGGCCAGCAGTTACGCTTCGCCTTGTATTTGTGATACGCGCGACCGGCCTTCAAGATAGGCTTGTCGATACGACCGCCACCAGCAACGATACCTGCAAAGCAATATAAAGATATTATGTGGTTAACTACTTAATTCAGTAACTAATAAATATTCAGATAGCTTGCAAAACATCAGAAATAGCCTCTTTGTCTTCAAAACCTTTCAGATAATGTAGGTAAGAGTTTTGTTCATCACTAAATAATTTTATAGAATATATTTTAGTGTAATGTGGATACTGACCAACCATGGCTCTGTTGTTTGATGGAATAACTTTCTTAGCACCTGAAGGCAGCTTCACGCGAGTCTTCTTGGCGTCAGGGTTGTGAGCAATAACCGTGGCATAGTTTCCAGATGCACGAGCCAATCGGCCACGATCGCCGGTCTTCTCCTCCAAGTTGCACACAATCGTACCCTCAGGCATTGTACCAACAGGTAAAACATTGCCTAAAATTAAAATTTTGACGTTAATAATCACTTTCAACTCTAGGCAGGTAAAAAATTAAGTAAAGAAGAAACATCAGAAATAGCCTCTAGTTAATGAAGTCATCATTACCAGTATGAAAAACTAGAAATCATCACAAACACATTGAGATATTGTAAATACAAATACCAAAATAAAAACTTACCAATTTGAAGGTTGGCCTTCTTTCCACAATACAAGAACTGGCCAGTGTACATGCCCTCAGGGGCAATAAACAATTCCTTTCTGGTCTGGAATTTATATGTGTCCCTGAAGTGGACAACGGCGAGTGGAGCACCACGACCCGGGTCGTGGACGATATCTTTCACAACTCCCTTAATAAAACCATGACGCTCAGCATAGTCAAGGGAGCGTAGTTTCGGTGCTCCCTTCCTCCTCTTGGTGTGGGACTTGAATACGGATCCCGCACCTTTACGTTGTGCACGAATTACACGTCCCATTTTGGAAAGACTAAAAACAAAAACGAAAATCAACAAATACCAATGACGTACAATACCAGAGTGAAGTTCCAGCCCGTATAACCTAACACTCGAAGCACAATGTAAACATCACTACAATATCACAATTTCAAACTAATATGAAACAAATAATATTCCTTTATATCCCTAAAACTTGTTAAGTGGTATATTTGCAACGGATGGTCTATACGAACGAGAATTTTCATGGATTTTCGAAATGAACTTGGAACACGACTTACCGTGATTATGATGGGTGACTGAAAGGATGTTGTTGTGTGTTTCTTCGTCTGAAGTGTGCTGCCATCTGGCGCTAGTGTCGTTTGTCAATTCTCAAAAACCCTAAGGTCACATAGAGTAAATAAATTAGGTTAAATTTTGTTTTCCCGCTCTTTTCAGATTTGTTCATTACAACCGCGAGTGCACTTATAAGAAGATTTTAAAAGTAATTTTATAAAATTTAATAACTAGTACTGTGTGCAGCACGTTATTTGTGATTATTTATTGAAGATGGAAGATGATCCAGGTATTTGTCTTGTTCAATCAATTGATAGTAGCTCATTATTTTTATTTATACTTATTAATTGTATTTAAGTAAATTCGGGTCAAGAACCAAGGGCTAAACGTCAGAAACAAGACAAAAAAGGCCGTTTTGCCGCTTTGCAGAAACTCAAAGACTTACAAGGAAGGAGATCTAAGAACAAATATGAAGTTAATGATGAAATTGACAATGTATATGATATAGTTGATGAGAAAGAATACTCAAAAAGAGTTTTGGACAGACAGGATGAAGATTGGATTGTTGATGATGGTATGTAATATGTAAACAATAATAGACATTATCTAATTATTTCTTTAGAGGGCATTGGTTACATTGAAGATGGCAGAGAAATTTTTGATGATGACTTGGATGCTGAATCAATTGCAGAAGGATCCTCAAGGAAAGGCAGAGGAGCAAAGAGAAAAAAGAAACAAATCTCTGAGAATGCAGGCAGAGGAAATATTCAAAATTTGATTTCAAACATGCCTATTAAGAAAAAGGAAGAAAAACTTGAGGATGATGACATTTTGTCAGATATTATCAATGAAATTGATCATCCGACAACTTCTACAGTAACTGCATCTGGTGGTTTAAAGAACAAACCAAAACAACGTTTCTCACTTATTGCTGAAAAGAAAGCCGCCAATTTGTACACAAAAAGTTTTGCAAAACCAAAAATTATAAAACCTTTATACAAGGATGAAACATCTCCAGTAAAAGTAGTTCCTGTTGATGAAACTACAAATAGAGATATTGACATGGAGGAAATGGAAGATTCTGAATCACTTAATCAACTGGACAGTACTGATTGTTCAGATACAAAAAAATCTGAAACAGAAACAATTCAAAAGAAAAAATTATTATTTACGATCAGTGAGAAAAAAGCAGTGGAATCTAAAGTTGAAGAAGTATCAGGGGTATAATTATTTAAATAAATATTACTCGAAACGTTATCTCCAATAAATATTTTTTTAGATTGGAGAAGAATTTGCAGATATTGATTTTGAAGACGATTTTGATTTTGATAACATAGATGCGTTAGCGGGATCTACATCTGATAAAAACGTCCCAGATGTAACAGAAGAACAATTGTTACAAGGTTTCACATTTGTAGGCGATACCAGTACGAATGATACCGATGTTATGGATATGTCTGCAGTTCCGCAAACTTCAGAGGAAGATGGAAAAAATGTATTTAGGTTCTTTTGGTGGGATGCATACGAAGACGAACGCAGTCAACCGGGAGTGGTACTCCTATTCGGGAAAACATTCTCAGAGGAAGAGAAAAAGTTTGTTAGTTGCAGTGTGGTAGTGAAAAATATTCAGAGGAAAGTTTATTTACTACCACGCCCATTTGTAAGTATTCAGTATTATATAGATTGGAATTATTTAAAAGTTGAATTAGTTCCTAGATAAAAATGGAAAGGAAACAGATAAACCTGTATCAATAATGGATGTATACCAAGAATTTAATGAAGATGTTGCTAAATTGTACAACGTGTCTTCATATAAGTCCAAGAAAGTGACAAGAAAATATGCGTTTGATTCAAGTGTACCTGAAGACAGTGAATATCTTGAAGTTAGATTCGAGGTATGTTGGCATGTAGATTTCTAGTTGAAACAAAGTTTGCAGTGATTGGTTACAGGGCAAGTATGATTTTCACGAGCAAAACTACAAAACCTTTTCACGAGTTTTCGGTATGAACAGTTCATTCCTAGAGATATTTCTTCTCGAGAGAAAAATCAAAGGCCCGTGTTGGTTGAATGTTTCTAATTTCGAAGTTGCTTCTAATCCGTATACTCACACCAGCATGGAATTAAGGTGTTCTAAACCTTCAGACGTGGCTGTAATGGAGTCTCTACGACCTGCACCTCCTCCGCCATTGGTTGTAATGGCGTTGAACATCAAAGCAGGAGTCAACCCAAAGACCAACGCTAATGAAATTGCTCTAATATCATGTCTGGTTAATAATCGATATTATCTAGAAAAACAAGCTCCCAAAATTCCGTTTCAGGAACACTTTTGTGGTAAGTTTCTTAAAAATGTAAATTTTCATATTGTAGAGATAAGATTATAATATTTTAGTGTTAACGAAATTATCACAGGGTGTATTTCCAAATAATATGCACATTGCTTTATCGAAATACAAAGCAACACGCGTACAAAAAATGGATTCTGAAAAAGCACTGCTTAATTATTTCATGGCCCAATTTTCGAAAATCGATCCGGACCTGATTGTCGGACACGATCTCAATGGATATCAATTCGCAATACTCGCCGATCGACTTCAATTCCAAAACGCGACCAACTATAGTCGCCTCTCTCGAATTAAACGATCCAACGGGAAAAACTTGTATGAGCGTCACTTGTTCAGTGGACGATTGGTGTGCGATATTAAATTAAGCGCCAAGGAATTGATTCGCAGTCGCTCATATGACCTGGACACTCTATGTCAAAGTGTTCTGAAAATACCCGAAGGTCAGCGAATCGAAATAGAGCCCGAAAACATTCCTATGATGTATGAATCATCGGTGGAGTTTTTTAAATTCGTATCCATTACAATGCAAGACACCGCATATATTTTAAAGATGATGTTTGAGTTGAATGTGATTCCATTAGCGCTGCAAATTACTAACATAGCCGGGAATGTCATGTCTCGTACTTTGATGGGTGGAAGGTCTGAACGCAATGAATATTTACTCTTGCATGCTTTCCATGAAAAGGATTACATTGTACCAGAAAAGGTAATCAAGAAGAAAGGTCAGGAAGAGGTCTCTACATCTAAACGAAAGAAACCAACATATTCTGGTGGTTTAGTCTTGGACCCCAAAGTTGGTTTTTATGATAAATTGATCTTATTGATGGATTTCAACTCATTGTATCCAAGTATTATCCAGGAATATAATATTTGTTTCACAACTATGCATGATATCAATGAAGCTGACTCTGAAATAATGGAATTGCCAGATAAAAGTTTGCCTCCTGGTATTTTACCAACTGAAATTCGAAAATTGGTAGAAAGTCGTCGGGAAGTTAAAAAATTGATGAAAAATCCAGATTTATCTGCAGATTTGCAAATGCAGTATAACATACGGCAAATGGCGTTGAAGTTGACAGCGAATTCGATGTACGGTTGTTTGGGTTTCAGTAACTCACGCTTTTTCGCAAAAAAGCTTGCTGCTTTAGTCACACAAAAAGGTCGAGAAATCCTCACGATAACACGTGATATTGTTCAAAAACTTTCATATGATGTCATTTACGGCGATACTGATAGTATAATGATAAACACAAACATCCAAGATTATGATCAAGTATTCAAGATTGGTAAGAGTATCAAACAGGAGATTAACCAAATGTACAAACAAATCGAGTTAGATATCGATGGAGTATTTAAATATTTATTATTACTTAAGAAAAAGAAATACGCAGCTGTTTCACTTTCGAAAAATAAAAATGGTAAGCTGGTTGAGGTGCAAGAACATAAAGGTCTTGATATTGTACGAAGGGATTGGTCACAACTAGCATCGGAGGCCGGTAAATTTATTCTCAATCAAATTTTATGCGATCAGTCTACCGATGATCGTATTGACAATATTCTAAAACATCTAAGGAAATTGAAGGACGATTTGGAAGCAAACGCTGTACCTCTATCATTACTAGTTATTACGAAACAACTGACCAAAGATCCAAATCAATATCCGGATAAGAATTCGTTACCGCATGTTATAGTGGCATTGAGGCATAACAAAAGTAAAGGCAAGAAGTTTAAAGCGGGCGATACGGTACCTTATATTATCTGCAAGGATGGTACTACTAGTAGTGCCACCCAAAGAGCTTATCTTCTTGATGATTTGAAAACTAACGCCGATTTGAAGATTGATATCGACTACTATTTGGGACAACAAATTTTTCCAGTTGTTTCACGTATTTTGGAACCTGTTGAAGGTGTGGATCCTTCTGAAATAGGAAATTGTTTAGGTGTTGATGTAAAAAAGATACAAAAACCAGGCACAGCTGCAGGCAGTCAGTTTGTTTTCACTGAAATCAAGCGAGTGGAATCGTTAAAGAGAAATTGCAAACCTTTTATGTGGAATTGTCTCGCTTGTAACTACTATAACTCGGTAGGCGATGATAGTGAGATTGTTTTGGAATCGTGTGGAAATCCGGAGTGTGATGTGCGACCAGTTGAATATTTATCATATATAATGAACAAACTTGTTTTGGCTTTGAGAGGGTACGAAGCGCAATATTACAAGAATGAGTTCACTTGTGAAGATCCGTCGTGCACTGTGAATACATACAAACTTCCGCAACGTTTTTCCGGCCGGTATCCGGTGTGCACAAAGTGCAACCAGGCGGTCATGTTCAAAGTTTATTCCGAGGATGACTTGTATGCCCAGTTAATTTATCTACAGAATATTTTTGATTATACAAAGAAACCAAAACGTAAGTTTTTGTGCATTTTTTTAATATGAAATGATTTCTAAATATTCGTTTATAGGTGATGATCCTAACTTAGAAGCGGCTTACATCGCGCTAAAGGAAGTCGTTGATAAGTTTATAAACGTGTGCGGTTATGCAACAGTGAATCTAAGCGAATTATTCGGCGCGTTCACTGTGAACAAAGTTGTGAAGGAAGAGATGCAAATTGATGCAACGCACGTTTTTGATGATGCTGCAGAAGATATTTAAGTTTATTTCTTTTGTGCAGTTAGTGCTGTAACTATTTTATGCGTTTATTATTTTATGCTTAGGTGCGTGAAGCAGAAAAACAACGATGGCTACCTTGTTGTTCTTTTGTTTCATTGGGAAGCACTTTTTATCATAAACTCGAATACATGCGACTTACTTATTCGAGTTTGCGATGTTTTACTTATTTAATTATTGTATCCTCAAATTAAATAGTTACATTTTAAGTAGGTATATTAAGTATATTCCAAGTGTATGAAATATGTGTCTAAAAATTAAATGTTGTGTTAAGTAGATGTGCTCTAAGAATCGGAAATACCTATGAAATAGTAGAGACTGTAAAATAGCCTGACATTTTCCACTTTTTCAAAACGAATGATTCTCTATGGTGTATAATGGGTTGCCTATGGGGAGTCAACTTCCAACAAGCGTCTTGATTGAAAAGCAGACAAGAAATACAGCAATTGTTTTCAAATTGGCATTGTGTACGTGAATGGCTGTCGCTTCACTACACAGGCCTGACAGTGACACTGGGTGTGTTAATCAAATAAATGTCATTAATCGCATTTAATCTTTCCTAAATTCTTCGTTACATTCGATTATTCATCTTGAAATTCCCCTAGTGTTGAGAGTGCGTACTAACCGTAGAGGAAAATCGTGAACCTGCGCAAGTCCGAGCAGCCGAGCGGCGGAGAACGAAGACATTACGCGCAGTCGCATAACGCAGTAGCCAGTTGTGTGGAGCGGAGTGCCGCAGAATCGACGCCTTTTGTGCTTTTGCCAAAGACTCTGGATACTTTTAGATTAGGAGACCTTAACAATAAGAACTTCTAATCAACGTACTGATTTGTAGTAATATGAGTAATGCACCCAATCAAAATGGATCAGGTCTAGAGCAGCAGGTGAGTACTTTGTGTTTTATTCGCATTAATTTTCATGTCATGCTACTACGCTTTCCGAGCGCGGCAGCGCGGATGTGTGAGTGCGCGAGTGCCAAGTATTCGCTGTGTGTGCGCAACGCGCCGCTCCACGTTTTGCCGACCCGGAAGCCCGAATAATGGAGGTCGGCGCTTGCCGACCGTCCGGCTGTTTCATTATCGATCCGAACATTTCAAGTTCAACACGACGTGTGCGATTTTGGGAAATTTGTAAAATTAACCGCGGCGACTTTGACGCGCGTGGAATGCTCACGGTGCGGTCATGCATCAATGTCGGCGCAACATTTCGCCATCGCACGCTGTTGCAAGTTGAGCTATGCAGCCATTGTTAGCGTCTGAATCACCTGCATTAGATGAATAATGCATCATGTTTCTTTTTGCAGTTTGCTGGTCTGGACTTGCAGGGCCGCGGCGGTAGCAGCGGCGGCAGGTACATCCCACCCCACTTACGCAACAAACCCGCTGGGCCCAGCACGCCCGATTCTCGTGATTCTCGCGAACGCGGAGAGTCTCGCGGCGGTGGTAGTCGCGGATATAGCCGCGGTAGCGGCGGCGGTGGACAAACTCGAGACTCACGTCAAGGCGACTTCTCCAGTTTCAATACGCGCAATCGGCGCGATTACCAGAACGGTGATTCTGGCGAACGCGATAGCTGGAGCCGGGGCGGTAGCCGTTTCTCCGATCGCGAGCGTGACGCGCCGCGTAATGATCGCTGGCAGGATCCGCCGTCGAAGGGTGGCGAACGCTGGAGCGATGGTAACAACGACAGTCGTGGCGGCTCCGGCAATAGCCGCTGGAATGAGAGTGCTGGCGGCGGGCGTCGCAACGATGCCGATTGGACCGTCCCACTGCAGCGTGACGAGCGCCTCGAGCTCGAGCTCTTTGGCACGGGCAACACAGGAATCAATTTTAGCAAATACGAGGATATCCCAGTTGAGGCGACTGGTGATCAAGTCCCGCATCACATCTCATCTGTAAGTAAACTTTCGCAAAAAAGTACTTTAGTTACTAACGTTTTGCTTGCGTTTTCAGTTTGAAGAAGTACAGCTGACAGAGATTATAAGCCAGAACATTGCGTCGGCTCGTTATGATGCTCCGACTCCAGTGCAGAAGTATGCAATTCCGATCATCCTCGGTAGGCGTGATTTGATGGCATGTGCTCAGACTGGATCTGGCAAAACTGCCGCGTTCCTTGTGCCGATCCTCAACCAGATGTACGAGAATGGACCTCCAAACATCTCGCAAGCTCGCAGTTACCGCAGGAAGCAGTATCCGCTTGGCTTGGTTCTCGCTCCTACTCGAGAACTTGCCACTCAGATCTATGATGAAAGCAAAAAGTTTGCTTATCGTTCTCGCGTACGACCATGCGTTGTGTAAGTACCAAAACTGTTACATTGTTGCAAACAACTATATATTTTATAATAATTAAAAATATTTTGTTTGTCTACTTAAGGTACGGTGGATCGAATCTCGTTGATCAGATGAAAGATTTGGACCGTGGATGTCACTTACTGGTGGCGACTCCAGGCCGCTTGTTGGACATGATCGAGCGCGGCAAGATTGGTCTTGACCATTGCCGTTTCCTCGTCCTTGACGAAGCCGATCGTATGTTGGACATGGGTTTCGAGCCCCAGATTCGTAGCATCCTAGAGAAGGACTCTATGCCGCGCACCGGTGATCGTCAAACCCTCATGTTTTCTGCGACCTTCCCGTCGCCCATTCAGCTGCTGGCGAGGGACTTCCTCGACAACTATATTTTCTTGGCTGTCGGCCGCGTGGGCAGCACCTCGGAGAACATCACCCAAAAGGTGGTCTGGGTGGAGGAGCACGACAAGCGTTCGTTCCTTCTTGATTTACTCAATGCTGCCGATCTTACACAACCGTCGGCGGAGAGTCTAACGCTCGTTTTCGTTGAGACGAAGAAGGGTGCTGATCAGCTCGAAGAGTTCTTGCACAATGACGGATATCCGGTCACTTCCATTCATGGTGATCGTACTCAACGCGAGCGTGAAGATGCTCTGAGACAATTCCGGTAATTATTCCAATAAACAAATTGTATGCAATAGTTGCAAATAACATTGTGATTTTAGATCGGGGCGAACTCCGATTTTGGTTGCTACAGCTGTAGCTGCTCGTGGTTTGGACATTCCTCACGTTAAACACGTTATCAATTTTGATTTACCCTCTGACGTCGAAGAATACGTGCATCGTATTGGACGTACCGGTCGTATGGGTAACCTAGGTACGTTACAACACAAGTTCAACTCTTTAGAGATTGTTGTTGCTGTTTTTCTGACATGTATCTGTGCTATCTAGGTTTGGCTACATCATTCTTTAACGACCGCAATCGCAACTTGGCATCATCAATGTTGGATCTTCTTATCGAAGCGAAACAGGACATTCCCTCGTGGCTGGAAGGCGTCGCAGCGGATGGTCGTTGCGGCGGCTCGGGTCGACGCACGGGCAAAGGACGCTTTGGCGGCGGCGGTTTTGGCGCTCGCGATTACCGTCAAACGTCGGGCGGCTCTGGTTCTGGCTCGGGCAGCGGCCAACGTCAACGCAGCGGCGGCAGTGGCGGATACGGTGGGAACAATGGATATGGCGGTGGCGGTAAGCACAACTGAAATATATTTTCTTAATTTCATTTATTTTCTTTGTTGAATGTATAACCCATTGTTTATATTATATTTATTTAAATTTTACGTGATTGAATTACATTTTTGTTTTGAGTTAAACGCCTCGAGGGTATCGTCAGTAAGTTACGTAAAATTTAAATAAATATTATATTTACTAATTTCATACATTTTTTCAATACTCGTATATGAAATTCATCACTTGAATTATTGTTCCAACGTAATATTAATTGCGTATATTTTTCGTCTCATTGTAGGTTTTTACGGCGGTGGTGGAGGAGGTTACGGTGGAAACTACGGCAGTTCCGGCGGTGGTGGTGGCGGTCGCGACGACTGGTGGGAAAATTAGGCAAATTTTCCCCTAATACGCCATTCACAATTTACCCCCTCAAATACAAATCAAGTAAGACCGACACCCAGAACTACTTACCTTTTTAGTAGATGCTTTATCCAGGACAGAACTAAAACTTTGAAATAAATTTGCATCTTTCCAATTATGGGACGTTTCCGATACAGCAATCACACACATGTACATTAAGGTTCAGATTTGCCGCGATGTAAAGAAATCAGAACAACAAAATACCGTTTTCAAAAGGTAACGCCACACGTCCTGGATTAGACTTGCATTCATTGTTTATCAGCAAATATAACCTAATGATAATAATATATTAAATAGTTGGACATTTTCATGAAGTATAATTGTAGGCGACTTAGAGTCGCTTAAGTTAGTAGCAAGTTATTTTAAGCAACTACAGAAGGAATAATAACTGTTTGTATCTATTATTACTTCAACTATGTCATATGGTTTACTTTCTAATATGATTTCGACTTCACACAAAGCACACGAATGAAATACACAATGTCATTATCGGTGGTGCGCGTATTTTTGGCGGGAGCTGAACTCTGATTGTGCTGAATCTGGACGCACCACTAGACAATTTAATGAGATCAATCATATCGTACATAACGAATAATATGAAACAAACGAAAACCTAGTGAACAAACAATTTCATTTCTAATAATAATGATATTTTGCTATCCCGAATTTGAGACGAACCTAACAACTGCGTTCGGCTAGCGTACAATGCTGACACGAATTAGAGCTTATTCATAAACGCGTCCTCTTTTATATTGAAACACTAGACGGAAATCAATGCGAGTGCCGTCGCGACGGTAGTAGTTGCGACGGGCCTGAGGGATCTGATGACGGGCGAAACTATTTAAGCAACAAATACTATAAAAAGTAGAATAATAAAATGAAAGGAGAAACACTTATTTAACGAATAATGGGGATGAGACGAGCATGAAAACTAAACGAAAAGCGCGTTGCAGTTACAGCTGTTGAACGCTAAGAGTATTCTGTTATACACGACTGTGATATATTTCCAATCTTAGAAATATGATATGATAGTTAAATTTTTATCAATTATTATTAATGATTGATGATAATACGGCACAAAATGAAATGCGCGGCGAGCCGCGTCTCGTCGCCTTCATTTGGGAGATTTGAGTGGGCGAGGAACGCCCGTTTGGAGGTGGCAGTCGTTCTATGTTCCCTTGTACATAAGGGTGGGATATAATCTTAGCGTATGTAAAAATAGGACTATTAAAACGAGGTGAACGAGAAGGAAATGGAGAAATCAAAACTGGTAATCAGTTCGCGGACATGATGCACAATAGGGGGAGGTTTTAAAGTGTGACTTTCGTTCAGAACTACATGACAGGCTATATTTTTATTCGGTCAAGTATAATTACATTCGTCAATTCAAACAGTGATGTTGGAATGAAACAGGAATGCCCGAGAGCTTGAGATTAAATTCAATTCATATTTGATAGACTTGATAAAACTTGTTTCCGTTTGAATATTGTTAATTTTTAACAAATCGCTTTTTTTTTATTTCGTTAATATGCTTTATTGTAAGACGTAGTGTTAGTTTCAGTTTTGTCAAGTTTCTTCGTTTTCCGGAGTATTCAACAACAATGAAAACGATGTGTTTCTCAGTTTATCTTTATCGATCGCTTAATTTTCTAAATTGTAGCCATCACATGACTAAAAAAAATGTGCACGTAGCAAAGAACACGGAAGGCAACATAGTATGGAAAATTAACTGCATAGTACAAAGCGTTACTATTATTATTATTAATCTATTATTCTTAATGATAATTGCCGCAATTGTCTGTGGCGCGAATTGCATAACAAAACTATTTATATTTATTTATGTGATTGAACTTTCAGCATGTACGGCATGCTCTAAGCTCGAGCTATATTCATCCGACGATTTTTGTTTAATATTTAATATCCTGTGATAAAGGTTTGAAACTTGTGCCTATCTCTTCGAACACACAATTGGATGACTCTTATCACACTCTTCTCATTTAAACATCAACCAATTTGCTTCAGTAAATCATACATACAATTAAATTCAACCGACGACCTGAAGAATGAATTAAAATAACGATGGCGAAACAGAGAAAATCAAGTAAACACAAAGATAACTTTAACAATTTGAGCTGTGACTGCAACTTTCGTGTAAACAATGTGTATTGAGACACAATCGTCGACGTATCCGGTTTGACGATTATAACGGATAGGTAACACGGTAATTAGTGTGGTATACATGTGTAATTTTAAATTCTGAAAACAAGACCATTTAAAGATACATACAATTAATGTGGGATGGCAAAATGCTGAGTGCTCTTGTAATTTGTCTTTTTCAAATGAAAACGCAAACTAAAAAGGAAAAAAAAAACTACAAAATTAACAAAAACTATTGATATTTAATTTTTTAAGAAGTCAAGTCTTTTTTGAAACTTATTTGATGCATTTAATTATAAAATAAATAAAATTCAACTTAAATGTGAATCAAACATTTTTATTCATCATTTGACATTTTAAAAGCTATAACCATTCTTATAACTTCCCCCCTCTAGCGCCACTTTTAATATAATTCATGGACCCTTGTTGTAACTGATTCCTGCTACCAAACGTACAGGCGCTTTATTTTATTTAACAATGTAAATCGTTCCTTTTTTGGTGGACCCTACATGTCCGGAAACTATTGAATCACAAGTTTGATGTAAAGATACGTATATAATTTGTCATTCAAAGTCTTCTATATTAGTCTTATAGTTTTGGTGTAATCATGGTTGCCTGATGCTTTCAAGTGGAATAAATAATTACTGCTATTGGGATGGAAAGTAAGTACATTTATGACAAAATAATAATTATTTTTAACTCATGTTCATAGAGGTTTTCAAGTAAAATCAATTTCTTGATTTTGATATTTCCCTTTTTCTGCTTCTTCATACGGATATTGAATATGTATATCTAATTGTATTTACAAAATACATATACTCATGCGCCGAAAAGGGTAGATTACTAAATACAACAAAATTTTTATTAAGCTAGAGATATGGTAGTTTGATATGGCCTAGATATGCTAGGTTTATATGTATTGCAATTAATGGATAGATTTAATGCATGAAGTATTGATGGAGAAATCAATATGTATTATAAATCTTTTATTTTTAAATAACTATTAATTAACTTTACGAGTATATGATGTTATCGAGAATTTTTACATTTTAAGAGAACATTTTCATTTCCTTACTCTCAATGGCAAAGTATACTGTATAACTGGCTGCCTATACGAAGCGCAGTATAAATGAAAATCTTGAAATACTTCCATGGATACTTCGCTGTAAGTTCAGGTGAGGCCGCTAGTGCCAAGTTATGCGATCGGTTGCTTCTGCCCGTAGACCGCGCGGTCGGTGGTGGCGATCCGCGCGATAGAGCACATTGCCGCACGCATCGCGACAGCAATCGCCCGCACCGGTCGCGTCAGTCGGCATCGTGCGATGGTCGTGTCCGTATCGGTGCGCTGCTGATCGTCTCCGTGCTACCTCGTGTGTGTGCATCGCATATTCGCACGTCGCGTCTGGACACACGCTTGCTCATTATTTATTTATTCGCGTCTCAGTTTCGGCGCGCAGGTACTTTGTCGATATTGGGAATCGCGCCTCTTTTATTCTCTCCGTGTCGACATTCGAGACGCGTAGCAGTTACATTTTCAATAAGTATTCGAACAAATTCCAATCATGAAGACTCCTTGCCGGTTTAACGCAACGTGCTTGCTGCTTACGCTGAGCGTGTGTTTTGTTTATTGTCGGAACGTCGACAGTCGTGCAAAAAGGACGATTAGCGATAGCCATCCGACGAATAGTTGTGATAATGTAAAAGCGTTCTTTCACTCGAGGAATATACCGATGCAGCGATCCGCTGGACCTAAAGGTGAGAATCAAGTGCATTCGTTACGTGCAGGAAACAAAGGCATCACTTTTGTTTGATAAACAAATGGCACTGCTACACACTTCAAACTCCCTTATCTATCAGCGTGTAAATGTATTGATGTATGTTCGGATTATGTTTCGATTTCGAAACTTTAACGTGTGTTTTACATTGAAAACATTGATAAGCGAGCACTTGTTAGATGTTCTGTTTAGTGCGTGTTCGAAATTGTTTGGCAATTTGCTGATGTTACAGTCAATTATGATAAAAGGTAAATAGATATTTGACGGAAGGTACATATTTGAGCACGTTATTTGCGTTTCAAATGACACCTTAGATTTTTTCTAAATTAAACATGTTCGTTTTAATTTAAATTGAGCAAAAAACTGGAACGCCATTCAACGACTGACAAGTTTACTCAAAAATGTGGCAAGCTTTAACTTTAAATTAATGAAATTGATTTTAAAACTTCAACATATCAGCTACTTTAGAACTTTGTCAATTTTCTTGTAATTAAATCATTCAAAACAGTGCGAAAATCTCACAATATGTTAGTTAAAACATAGTGTATGTTACGTTTAGTTAATTTGCTCGTCTTCAATACACTTGTTACAAATTCGACTAGGTTAATGAGAATTCTATCGCATAAATTGCATCCTAGGTGTCGGCGTTCAGCACGTTTGATGGCGTGTACGTATACATGTGTATGTGTGCACGCGCACGCTCGACGTAATTGATGTAAATCTATTCGCGAACGCGCGAGCTGGCGTAGTAATGTATGCATGTGTCGCGTTGTTGCTATGTTTGTTGAATTAGCACTGCACACCATTGTACGCGTCCGTCGCTGCCTATGAGAACACAAACAACGTCAGAGACGCGCCCCGGGGGCCGCGACGCGATTTCCCGCACTTTGGCGGCGGTAGTCGTCGTCACCGCCGCTTCATTCGCGGGCATATGTGTACAGGGTGTGCGTTCATTTATTATGAATTAATAGCGCGCTCGATGCTCATTTGCCATAGAGAATTGTTGTGAAAATGACGCGTAGTGGTGCTCCAGCCCTCCTGGAATTGCATTTACATATTCGAGTGGTGCAGCCCAATTAAATATGTTTATTGACGAGCAATTAAGTCGGAATTTTCCGGCACTATAGCGTACACTCTACGACAACGGGTCACCGCACATAAATACAGTACCAGGGTCCCATTGTACATGCAGTGTTTTAAATGAAATTATTGGCTGCAAAGAAAACATGCGCGAAAGTATAATACAAATTTCAGAAATGGATTTTTCACACGCGAATGTTTCGTGTACGCTGATATTTTCTATCGGGTTGTTTGCGAGGGGGACGATTTTTTTGTTCTATTTCTCTTATCGACCCAATCTTTGCTAGGATATACATAACTGTAATTTTCAACCTCTGTAATTTTTATCACGTTATCTGCAAAAATTTTAATTGGTTGTGTTGTTCGGAACAAAAATTAAATAAATTAGTTTACTTTATTATTTATTATGAGTTGCGGCATTGCGGAGATTTCAACTTTATCGTGGTTTCCGCACAATGCTTTCACTCATAACAATTTGCGCTGGTTAGCATGCTGAGAGCATGCAGATGGATATTATCTTAATGTAATACATCTGTAATTGAAAGGGTCGGTTCGGCGTGTGTCGTCGGGCTAAGGACATGTTTAGTTAGCATAGATACGATACAAACGGGCGTCCGGAAGCGGGAAAAATTATGCACGCGGATGTTACGCGAGGGTGAATTTTATTATATCTGAGAGATCGTAACATATAACTGGGTCAAATTGTTTATATTCCATTCTACGATGCGCCCTTCGCGCCGAATGAGCTAACGAGGTCGCACCGCTAAGTGGATTGTTGTGCGCCGCCCGCGGATGATATGTCGCTGGTGCGCGTTTCCTGTTTGACGCATTTTTTCGGTTGGTAATTATAATTTACCCCTGGGTGCACGTGGATGTTATTTATACATCACGAGATTCACTAACACATTATGAGAATTAATTAAAATTGAAAATACAAACACCTATTATGAGAATATCTATATAGTCGCGTCGATGCAATTTATAACAAGAATATTGTTTTTATTTCCTAAAAAAAAATTTTAAAAAAATATTAAAGATTTGTTCTACTGATGACAAGATTTTATTACAAAGTACAAATTGTTTTGACATAATCTCTTCGCATTTGGATTTGGCAATAATGGCAGAATACAGTTAGGTTAGGTTTGGTTAGGTTACCTATTTAGTTATCAATTAACAATTATAATTTTATTTTCGTTATTCGTATTCACGACAAGGCTATCGTCAAGCGAAACTTGTTATGTTTTCAATTTTCATGGTAATTGATAAACGAAAAACTAGTCAAATGTGACCATTATCTACTGTTTCAGTTATAATTTATTTGCATTGAATTAGTAAGTGAATTTCAATCTGCATACGTAATTGTGATGCGCATAGTTTATTTATTACTTGGTTGACAGTTGTGTGCAAAATTGCGTTTAATTTACCTGTAGTTGCTTTATTAATGATTGCGCTGTTTTGTTGTGCTCATTAATTATTGAAATTTGAAATGAAACTACTTTGTCTATATACGAGGACATGTTATACAGTTTGCACAGATTTGAAATAAAGTATTGACTTTATGTCGAAAAACAATTTCAGTACTGATCCGTTTTTATATTTTTATGAATTTTACGAGCGCAGTTTATCTACATCCCGAGATTATAATGCATATAGTGGTTTTCATTCATATCCGCAACACGGACCATGTACGTACAACATTCAATAGACTAGATACATTTTCTTTCATTGAAAATTGCGGGTAGGTTTTTTTTTTACAAAATCTAAGCATTAAATTGTCCATCATGCTTATGTACTCAATGGGGAGACGTAAATCCGTTACTGACACTCGTTTGGCAAGAAAAGTTTGTTTTGTACAATTGTGTAACATCGTTTATCATCGTAATTTCGATCAACTCTACCACTCCGTTTAAGGCAAAACTGATGCTATTCATTTTTTTTAAATCACTTCACCTGCCGCACTCAGAAAAAAAGTGAAACTAGGCTGAAAGAGTTACTGCCTGTTTCTCTGTCGTTTCGTTTTATAGATAAGTACTCGCCGGTTTCAAAGTATGAATGAAAGCCCTTTTTCAATGTTTATTCAATGCAAGCTGTCCGCATCAATCGCATCGAGTTGCAAACGAGATAAAACAATTTCAAATACCTTCAAAGAAACAGAGACTCGTGTTGTAAATTCGTAGTCAAAGTAAGCCGAGCGCAAAACTCACATTCCACGTACGCCTTTGGTGGCAAAAAGGGCGACAGCTACCACCCTCTTCAGACTATCGGTGTCTAACGATGTCTTACCTCGCATACCATAACATATACCTCTAGGTGAAGATGAGCTGTCCTTATGTACTACATTCACTTCTTCAGGAGTAAGGTACATAAAAGAAGGCGCTTTTCGTGTGTCGATGATTATACCTGCAACAAAGTTTTGCTTTCGTTCATTTTACTTCATCGGGGATGTCGGCGCTGGCATGCGACCGACCACTGTGCAGCTTCGGCTATAAAAGACATTTATATTTAGATTTCTTCGAGATATGCATAAATAGTTATGGCGCACTGCGTGGCGCAACTTTTGACCGAGCTGCGGTGGTGGCAGCGGTGCGAACGTACGTTTTATTGTATAATAGTGCATGCCTGCCATCTCGAAATTAAGAAGCGAAAACACGTTTGTACTTACCATCTTAGGGATCGTTTTTTTACGGCGCTTTTTCTCATTGTCTAATTGAGAAGTATACCACCCGGTTTCGTATTAAAGAAGGATTTATCCTATCGTAAAGTTAATTGCTACAGCTTTATTAAAACTTAATTCTCAGCCGCTGGATATAGTCGGTTAATGGTAATAAACATAATTAATGCATTGCATTAAGATGTTAATTATAATGTGTAATAGAAACTCTTGGTACATCTGAGTTTTAACATTGGTGTGATGGGAATCTTCATCAAGACGTGCTAATTCTCATCATTTTGCACCTAATATGCATCTCACCGCGACTAGTAATTATCTGTCCCTTTACAAATATTGCGAGTATGGGTACTTCGACACCTTTCAGCGTTCTATGTTGTGTTCAAGTGTAATAAGACGCACTTGTTCTGTTGGGTTACTAACGCATGTTGAGACTATGGCAGTCTTTCTCATTTATAGTTTGTTATCTGCAGCAAAATGCACGGCAACACATTGTGACACGAACGGCAAATATGAGCGATGTCGGCGCGGCAATTTGCTGCACGGAGGCCGGTGTTTGCACTAACACTCAGCATGCACAGCCGCGTCGAAGTTGCTTTGTTAATTTTGCTGAATATGCAAAAGAAGACAATACTCACGGTACAAAAGGGATCTTCTTTGAATGTTGCAATTAACATTCTCGCAAAATAGTTTTTAGGAATTACGACACCTCAAGTTGTATATCTGACTAAAAACTAATTATTCGCATAGAGGTAACAAAATGGGAAGTGCTCTTTGAAAACTAATGGTTCGCATTTTCTGGTCAAAGATGGTCATACATCTTTTTCATAATAGTAGCCTCCAATTGTGCAATTTTAATCAACTCAAGATTGTCAGTATGATTGATTCAGTCATCCATCAACCCATCAATTATACCGTTGCCCCATCGATCAAATTTGCAATGCATTTAGAGGACTGCTATCTAATTCAAAAAAATGGTTGAAATATGTGTCTCTGTAATCATATTCTTGTATTCCAAACATCTTGAAACTGTGTTTTAACTTAAATTGCACAATTAAACTTTGTTCTTCGACGCCTCGCCGAAAAATAGAATTTGGGGATTACGTAATCCCGTGTTTGGCGGCAGCGTGGGGTGGTTGAGTGCAGCTCACCGGATGTCGATGAAGTGCGCTGGAGACAACACACTTTCTCGCGTACGAACAGGTCCAACCCCCGCGAGGCACGAATAGATT